TTTATTTCATGCTATTTACATATCTAACACATAAAATATTAATATTATATGCCTACCACCTATATAAAATTTTAATATAAAATATATCACTCCTATAATTCATTTCTATCATTCATACAATCCTATAAACTTTAATATTTCATTATATGCACCCAAATTTGTTCTATGGGTGGTAAGTATGTAATATTAATGTTTTGAATATTAGATATGTAAATAATATAAATAAAGTGGTATGTATATAAATCCCCTTTTTTTATCCAAAATTCCAAAGAGCTTAGCGTCGGGGCATTACCAAACCCAATGTTGCAGCGCCCACAAGAAAACTTTAGTTTTTAACAAAAAAATGAAAATCGGGATCTTGGAGAAACATTGCTAAGCTCAGTGGTCTGTTGGAGAAGAAGAGTGATGAAGAAGAAGAATATGCTTTTTGGGAGATGGATAAAACTATAAAATTATATTTTTTAAAAGAAAATAATTAAAAGTTTTTTTTTAAATCACAAGAATAGCAGCTTACCCTACCAGAATGTCAGCTGCCAGCTTCTACTAATTGCATTAAATGGAATTAATGTTTTTCAATTTTTCGGCAACATTTAAAAGAAATGGATAAAACTATAAAATTATATTTTTTAAAAGAAAATAATTAAAAGTTTTTTTTTAAATCACAAGAATAGCAGCTTACCCTACCAGAATGTCAGCTGCCAGCTTCTACTAATTGCATTAAATGGAATTAATGTTTTTCAATTTTTCGGCAACATTTAAAAAAAAGAAGCAAATTTCTTTTTAAATAATACAATTTTCAACATAATCATGGAAGCTCGTGAGCCGACGAGTTGAGTTTCGTGAAGCTCTAACTCTAGCTTTTTTAATATGCGAGCTCGAGATTGAGGTCGAGCTCAAAGCTCAATAAGCTCGACTCGTGAGCTAGTTGCCGAGTAGATTTCGAGTAGTCTCATGCGTCGTGAGGGCCACATAAAAAAAAAAGAGGAAAAAAAAAAGAAAACAAATTTTTTTTCTCAAAAAGCCTTATTCAAACATCTTTGAGGTCTTTGAAATCATTTTTCGATGTTCTGAACTCAATTTTGATACTTTCATAACACAACAAAGCCTTTACAATCAGTTTCAGGTAATTTAAAATTTTGGAGCATTGTTTACTCTGATTGACGATTATTTCAAGAATTACTAAAATTATGATCCAGGGCATTTTACTTGGTTCATGTCTTTATGAGCCTGATGGGAGGTCCACGTTAATGTCTAAGGAGTGGCCGCACCTTAAAATTTATTTGAAATCTTGATTTCACATCGATTTTTTTTTTAAAAGCTCAAATACATACTTCAGACTCTGTTATCTTCGATGTCTAAAAATGAGGAAGTAACAGATACGTGACATAAAATCACCTTAATAGAGCACAAATCTTGATGCATACTTGAATTTAAAACTTCCAAATTAAAATTAGGACTATCCAAACTTCTATTTTAGCAAACTAATAGTTAAATTGGAAGTCTCAATAAGGCGAACCAAATGACGCCAAAATCAGTCCAATCCGAGCCCAAATCAAGGGATCAAAGCTTATTTGAAAAATTCAAAGCATAAATTGGATAACTAAATGATCCACAAATATGAAATGTGTATAGTCGAATAGAGCCCATGATCTCTTGAATCTGTCATCATTAAGACATTTAAATGTTGAATAAACTCTCTATGATTAAGAGAATCAATATGGGTCGCCTGATGGAACACTCCAAATTTGTCATGGATCTTCTTCATATTTACGAAGTATGTCACTCTCAAAATCTATAAATAAACCATTAGACCACCACTTTCTACATCAATAGGATTTTTGGAGGCTTGGACCATAGGCTAGAGACTCAAGAAAACTCTGAAGCTAGAAGAGTCTTGGAGCTCTACCCAGACCCACCGCCGGTGAATCCTCGATGCGCGGCCATTGCTGCTGGACCTCTGCCTCAAACTTTGCTATCAGACGTCTGTCCAGCTGCCATCGTTGGGTCTCCACCCAAACTCTGTCACCGCTGACTATACTTTTTTTTTTTTTTTTTTACCTCTGTCTCATGACAACAATCTCTCTAACCTCAATCGCCCAATTATGATCCCTTTAACCTTAGTCGCCTAACTACAGGGGCCATAGTCGATAGATCCTCATCACCTGGCCATTACTGTTAGACGTCCACCCGATGCCATAAGACCTCCATATAACCTCCACCACCGAGTCTCAACCTACCTTCGTCACCTGATAACAGTCCTTCCGACCTCAGTCACTTAACAATAGTCCCTTTGATTTCAGTCGCCTGACTCGATCCCTCCAACCCTCTGTCACCCTTTGACTACGATCCCTTCAACCTCAATCATCTGACAACGATCACATCGACCTTAGTTACTATACTACGATATCTCCAACCCTTATTATTTGCAAACTAGGGTCTCTCCGACCTCTGTCACCCGACAATGATCCCTTCGATCTCAGCCTGACTGCGGTCTCTTAGACCTCCATTGCCCAACTTCGATCCTTCAAATCTCTGTCGCCCGACAACGATCCCCTTCTCAGTTGACCGAATGTTGTCATTTCGACCTCCATTACTTGACTACAATCCCTCTAACCATTTCACCTACTCAATACAATCCCTCTTACCTTCGTTGCCTGACGACTATGGTTCTTCTAACCTCTATCACCCGAAAACGACCCCTCTTACCTCAGTTGCTTGACGACGGTTCCTAAAACCTCCATTGCCCACAAACTACGGTCCCTTTAGCCTCTATCGCTCGACTCCGATACTACTTATCAAATAACATGCCAAGTTCTCTTAAGAATAATTCTCATGCGATTGAATTCCTCTAACTCTAGTAATGTAATATTTGCTTGTTTCACTGCCTTCCTTGGAGAAAGGACATTCTTTATAACCAACAATAAATTTTAGTTGAATTATTTTACCTGGGTCATATTTTATAATTTTTTTATTTTTATTTATGTGATGTATGTGTTAATGCTGATTATCCACGTCAGTCAAAACCCGCCGACGTGTTAATCACCTTAACCCAAACCAATCAGTGCGTTCCACTTCACAGTTTCGACCCGGAAAGCTTCCAAAACTCAGAAGCAACTGTGCTGGGAAAACTGGAAGGTGGAGAAGCAGAATCAGCCTGCTGCAGGGAGAATATGCCTGGAGCTGGACTGGTAGATACCCTTCCGCTGCTTCATACCTCTATAAGTGAATGGGCGCTTCTCCGGACGCCTTCGCCTTTCTTCCTTGAGGGCTTGCTCTTCTTTTTTCAGGTATTTTTTCTATGTTTGTAAGATGGCTTCCGTTGATTGTTATATTCTTTTGTGTCCTAAATTTGGGTTTAGGGTTTTCGTGTAGCGGATTTGCTAGCTCTGGAAACTTTTTTGGACGACGTTGAAATTCGTAAAATCCAATGTTTGGTTGGATGATGTTAGAAATCAACTTTGATTTTAAATTTTATAATTCCCTTCCCAAAATTATTCAAATGTGAAGAATTTTCACCCACAAAGTGAGTGAATATGAATGCATCATTTTTCTAAACATGTTTTTCTGATTTGAACACTGTAAATGAGCACTTAGAGTGGATCCAATTTGCAGTGGTGCACATAATTAATGTTATGCTATATCGTTGTTTCCTTTTTAGTTTAGTAACACTTTTGCTCGATTCATTTTTCCGGCATAGAAACTACTGTTGCAGATTTTGAGTCCAGAGGGAGAATTTAGATATAGTAACTGGTAACAAACAATGTTGGCGGAGAATTGCAGGTTAGGATCCTACTTGCAAACTTTTCTGGGCAATGTTACACGGAGGGTTAGGAAGAGGAGGATGTTTTTTATTTTAAGCTTTGTTTTTCTATAGATGGTTTTGCGATTGCAAGTATGAAGCTTTAGAGGTGGATTGACAGTCTGCGGGCATGTTTTATTAGTGTGATTTATTGGGTATGCTATTTGTTTAAAGTGAATCTAATTTACGATAATCAAAAAGTTTTTAATGCTATGTTTTGTTTTTTTTTCCCCTTAATTATGTGACATTTTCTGGGATTGATTTTTGCAGCATGGAAATTGTTCTTATGAATTCTGAGTCTGAAGGAGATAGTTATAGCAGCTGGTATGGAGAGTGAGGTTTTGTATGATGCTAAGAACATAAAACTATTAGTCTATTACATTAATTGTTATATGGTGGAGAAATTTAGGGTTACGATGCCCTAGTTGCAAATATTCCTTGGAATAATAGCTGAAGAAGGGTTAGGGGTAGGATAATGATTTTATTTCTTTGTTTCACCTGTTGTTGGAACTTGGAATGAATGTGGTAGGAAATGCTTGAGTTCGCAAGCAACCCTAAGGGAAATATTTGGGTTCGCAAGCAAACCTAACCACAATGGGTGAAAATAGTAAGTAAAACTGCTGTTTACAGCAAAAAACAGCAACGTACAGCAGGTTTCTTGGGAAAAACAGAGGAAAACTGATAGAAAATGAAGTATTCCCCTAGTAGATGCAGGAAAACAGCAAATGATATAAGTTTCTTCAATTTGAGAGGAAGAAACAGCTCTCCAACTCTCTAGCCAAACCTAGGGCCCAAAAGAAACAACCCTAGATCCCAAATATGATTTCAAATTCAAAATAACCTCAAACCCTAACAAGAAAGACTAATTAAAGCAAAAGAAAAATTAATTAATCCCTAAACTGCCCCTAATTCAAAATTTTCCTCTCAAATCCTATTTAATTTAGGCCATGGGCTCACCAATGCTGCCGACCCCTCTCTTTTCTGCCTCCCCTTTGGGCCGGCGGGCATAGACGGGATCACGGGAACAGACTGGTTCAGATCTAACAGAATGTTTGAAAAGCAAGTCAGACGAATTTGAGCGGGGAGACTAATTTATTTTGTACTTTCATTTCCTTGTTGTACAGAATTTAAGGCGAATATCTACTAGCTCCTATTCTTGTAATGAACTAAACCAATTTCATTATATTTCGATTTAAGTGCCCTTCAATATAGCAGATTTTGTCCATATTATGCGTTATCATCACTATTATTCACCTAATCTTAACTATTCCGAGTTTGTTTTTTGAATCCTGTTGACGATTGTTTTCTGGTGATCTATGTGTTAATCCATATTTTGTGCTAATTGTTGCCAAATTAATTTCGATATATACCTTTTCCGTTTTCAGTCATTCGCATCGATTCTATCTACCCTTTTTTTTATTCATATTCTGTTATTTCCCATACATGTTGAAACTAGCTCTCTATTGTTCAAAACCTTATCCTAAGTGCTACAATTTCCCATGTACAATCATTTTACTCTATTGATTTCTATTTCTTACTACACTTCGATTTTGACATTTTCATTTCAGCACTTCATCTTAGTTGTTAATGATTTTTTTATTGCCAATCCACTTCTCTATTAACAACTAACAACATAACTTTAATCTATAGCAAGTTTTATCTAACTACCCATTATTTCATTTAACCAAGCTAAAAAATCACACTTATGACACTGAAAAGATTAAAAACATTATAAGTGAAATAGCTGGAAACTTAGAGATCCGATGGGAAGCTTTTAATTTCTCTCAAGAATTGTTGGAAATTATTGTAGATCTTGTAGAGCTATATTAATTACTTTCTGAAAGGCATTGACTTGTTCGCCCGAGAATAAAAAAAGAAAACTTATTTTTTTCTAGATGTCATCCAGTCTGTTATGTTCTTTAAATTGAAGGGAGAACAAATAAATCATCACAAATCTGTGAGAAGGAGAAGTAGCATATGTTTATTGTTGTCACAGACCGGTTCGGTCTGGCCGGTTCATATCTACTCGCACTCTATAATATGGAATAAAGATAACACATTGTATATTGATGATTTGAATTTCGATTATACTGCAGTCTACTTCCCCAGAGCATCGCAATCTAGTTGTTCCAGCCTAATAAAGTCAAGAAACAATGGGTTTGGATTACTCATCAAAGACTTCTAAAGATCTAGAGGGAATTCATGTTGTTAAGCTTGCGCACCAATCACCACTGAGAGTCGATTGTGAAGACTTGGATATCTCAAAATCTACAAATTTAGAGAAAGTTCAGAGAAGCCCAGGCTTGATCATTCCGTACGTGCTAGAATGAAACAGATAAATGAAATCCTTTTGTATGAAATGATATTATATCCTATCGTGTTAACTGATTGGCTTTGCTTCCCCATCTTTCTTAGCCAAATATGGCAGCAGAGGCCATCCTTCTTGAGACCCATCCATTGTAGCATTCAAGGTATTGTCCTGTATTTTTTCTGTTAACATGTTTTTGTTAGAATTATTAGATGCATTAAAGTTGATTATTGTGCTGTCATTACTCTCTTACTAAGGTGACCAGACCATTGTGGAAACTGTTGCTAATGTTTTAACCTCATTGCCTTTCATCATTCTTGGGCTTCAGGCTCCACGGTAAGCTTTCTACCAATTTAGCATAGATTGTCTTTTATTTCCTTTAGACAGTCTGTTATGTGTGGAATCTAATTGTGTTGATAAATTGGATTGTTTTGTTGCCTTGAACCTCATGTTTCTTGTGCTCGCTGGGGGGGGGGGGGGCTGTGGGGGGCGTGGGGGGGGGGGGGTTCGGGTGCTTTCACCTCAAAAAAATTTCCCCCCTACAATGCCCCAGCGCTTCGTACCCGAGCAGCTCGACGCTGAACGACAGAGAGCAGAGCATCGCAGTAGTATAGATATGACGCCACAACAGACCAAGACAGAGGTTTGAGCGTCGCAATACTGCGAGACGGACTAGACGATTTTCTTTCTCATTTTTCTAAAAGGTTGCATCCTTTCGGGTTATTTTACTTGGCTTTCTCTTGTATTTTGAGTATGTAGACATTGAGAACTGTGCATGTGAGAAGAGAAGCAACGAGAGAGTGAGAGAGAAGAGAGATGTACTTATTTCTTCCAATTTTCATAGTGGATTTCTTTGTGTTGTGTGGCTCCGTGATTTTTTCCCTATTTTGGATTTTTTCACGTTAAATCCTGGTATCTTTTGCTGCTTTTACTTTTCTGCTTGTTTGGTCATTGTCTTGTTTACTCCTCATCTTCCCCAACACAGTCTCCTTACCATATATTGTTTTTCTATTTTAATGAAAAAGCTTTTATGGATTATGCAGGAAGAACTTGAATTCAGTACTTTATGCTAATTCATTAATAGGAGTTGGAGTGGCCTCCAGCTTGTACCATTGTTCAAGAGGACAGATGCGGAGATTCTTTAGATGGGCAGATTATACAATGATAGCTACAGCTTCTGTTGTAAGTTTCTTCAACTAAAGTTAAAGATCCTACAACATTACTAGGTGGCAAAAATGTTTTACCCATTTAGTTCATTATATTTATTTTCATATGGTATTATGTACTGTTTCATTTTCAATGATTTAATTTTGGCTCCGTGCAGTGCCTTTCAAAAGCTCTACATATTGAAAATCCAAAACTGCTAATGGCCGCATCTGCAATGTTTTTGCCAATTCAACCTCTAATGGTTTCAGTTGTTCACACAGGCATGATGGAGGTATACAAGACCAAAGTGCAACCATCAAGTTTTTTATTCGAGCATTTTTCTCATTCTTTTCATAAATAGATTCCATGCATTTATTTTTATATATCTTCTCCGAGAAAAGCAAGTTGATCACAATAACAACCACGCTTTCACAAGTATGACCGATTTTTATCCTCTAATCTTCCTTACTAAGTAAAGGCTAGCATGAATATAAGGAAAAAAACCTTAAACAACAAATAAATTGGTAAGTATAATTTGCTCACTTGCTTGCGGAAATAAAGAAGGCAACAATCTATACGCTAATTGAACGTATCTGCCTCATTCTCCCTCCTCTGGCTTCGCCCGCCGGAGCAAACGCAAGAGTTAGAACCTTCGATGCCCTCGTTGACTGCAAAAATGGCGAAGAACCAGTGAGAAACAAAATGAGTAAAGGGAACGACGAGAGAACGGCTCTAGTCAGACGTACCAGGCTTAAAATAGCGCGGTAGCTTGCTCGGTTTAGCTCGCCTCTTCGCATAAATGGTTAAGATGACGAGGTTCCGAGCTTTAGTCGTACGCTCTCTCCGCTCGGTTGACTCGCCTGGTCATGCAAATGAAGAAGACAAGGGTAGAAGACCAGTGAGAGCAACGAATCCCTAAGGCATACGAGCAATTGGGCACGTATTGATGCATTTATGGTTTGAATTTCCCCTTAACACCATTTATCTGATTAAAATAATATAAAAAAGTAAAAATTTGGTAATTTAAATAAATTTAATTCTAAAAAATTATGACACATGTGTCCATATAAATTTAAATATTATTTTAATCATATATGTATCAGTCTTGTCCGACACATGTCTCAGTCTTGTCAGTCGCATGGCCGTGTCCGACACTGCATTCCCTCTTAAATAGGTGTGTCGGTGCATCATAGCATGCATCTTAGTGGGAACTGTTGTTATCAAATTAAAATACATGAATGAAATAATAGTTCGAGAACATAACCATCCATGCATTGGTTACCTTTTTTGTGAACATGAAGTCATTAATGACATGAATTCTTACGTTAATTGGCAATACTCGATTGCTTGGCTTACGTTTTCTTCGTTGTTGCCTGTAATAAATTGTATTATAACCATATTATCATCTGAAACTTTGTGACCTTCCAGTCTGTGTGGTAGATTAATCTCTTTTTGCTTACCCATTAATAGTGAAGCTCTTGCCTTTTCTTGCTACAAAAATAATTTTATGCCACTGATACTGTGGCCTAGAACCCTAATGCTTCATTTGGTCTCTTTCTTGTATGTTTTCATCTCTAATAATTGGCAAAGAAGGATTCATAAAGACAAGTTTAGATAAAACTAATGAAAGTAATTGATGATGAAAGTACCATGCCTACATATATTTTACTGTCACTCTTGTATTCTTAGGCTTCGTTTGGGACGGCTTTCTTACTGCTTCTTAAAGCAGTTGTGGGCTCCGAAAAATTCCAATTTTGGGATGATGTGATCCCGGGCTTTTTTTTTTTTTTTTAGGTTTCTGTGTGCGTCTGTATATGCCTCTAAGAACTGAATGGGAGAGGAGTTATTTATGTCGTGAGAGGCGACAGTTTCTGTCGAGAGAGTCGGTGGGCGTATCGTTGTGTCCGATCGGCTATGTCGGTGGCTTCAGTCGGTTGGTTTTGCTGTTACAGTCAACAGCAGTTTCTAGTGAAACTTTTTTACTAGAAAGTATTTTAAGAAGCAGTAAGAAAGCCATCCAAACGAAGCCTTAATCAGTAAATTCTAAGACCTTTGCCTTGTTTCCAGGTAGCATTTGCTAAAAAGGCATCGACAAAACCGGAGCTAAGAACTGCTCATAATCTTCATGCGTTGTCTTCAGTGTTGGGAGGCTTACTTTTTATTGCAGATGAGTGGTATCCCGAAACTCCCTACATCCACGCTGCATGGCACCTTGCTGCAGCAGTTGGCGTTGGAACATGCAATAAGCTTCTTGAATGATTCCATTGCAGGCAATTTTCTTCTGAATCATTTGTATTAGAATATCCTGGCAAAAGAAAAGGGTTATATAAAATTTATTATTAGATTTATTTTGAGATTAGTGCAGTAATCTATCAAATAAATTTGTTTACATGTTAGGAACTTGTATTGCTAAAAGAATGTGGCTGCGCTTAAATTGTCTATGCGCATAATCATCTCAACACATTTATGTCTTCCCTAATTTAGACATTTTAAATTAATCTACATGTATATACTATATATATATATATTGTACAAATGAGTTGTTTGGTTGAGTATTTTATCAATGTAATTTATTTTTTATTTTTTTAATTTTGTTTGAAGTAAATGAAAGCTGAGAGTATATTTTAAATAATAATTGATTAGAAGTGGCTTATGATGGAAAAATTATTCTGTGTGGACCCGGATGGCACCCGGAGAGCAATCAGAATGTGTCATGTCATTTTGTTGCTTAGTATCGGTGCTCGGTACGCTCGATATCGGGTGATGTGGCGTGTTCTAGTTGATCTCCCGATCATCAGGTGTCCGCACAAAATAATTTCTTCTAATGATCACAGACATTAGTTGTAGGAGCTAGGTAGATGATGATGATTGGATGTGATGGTTGGCAGCAGCGGGTGGTGATGGCCGGAGGCGAGAACTGGCCAGTGAAGATTGATGTTGGGCGGTTGCCGTGGCGATATTTTTATATTTTTAAAATAATTAATTTATGTCTATGAAGAAAAATAAAATTATCTCAGCCATTGATTTGTTAACTCGTAAATTGTATGGTAACAATCAGTTATCTTTATAGGCATGGATTTGATCATTTAGTTTAAAATTTTGCATTATCCTTTAGTTTAAATTTTTGCGTGATTACTTACAATTTTATTATAATGCTAAAAGCAAATGAAATGAAAATAATTACAATGATAATGAAAGTTGCACTTATCAAATATGAGATCATTAAAGATGAAAAAAATTATATTAGTTTTTTTTTTAATGTAAAGCACATTCTGATGGATTTTAAAGCTCTTGAAATTATGTTAAATTATAAGTTAGAACTTATTTTTAAAGCTCATCTTGATGCATTGAAATAATTATTTTTTATTAAAAACAGCTTAAGAAATTTAGGCTCATATAATTAAGATCAAAAAATAAACCAATGCAATGAAATGTGCGAATAAATCTTAAAATTAATTAATGAATACAAATATAAAAATTATTTAAAGAATAAATATGGTTTGTAGGAGTTAATGTCAAATAATTTATTATTCTTAAATTCTTATTTAGGTTATTCAGTGAGCCTGAATTTATTTGTGTCTTGCTAGGTGGGCAAATTATTAAGTCCGGTGTTCGGATTCGTTCGGACATCAATCCAGACACGCCACATCACCAAAATATATTGGATTTCAGTATATTTGAATGACATGGAGTGTCTGAATTGGGTGTTTGGACGTCCGGTCACCGGACGTAATAATTCGCCTGTTTGGAGAGTTTCCTGTGGTGAAGGAAAGGTTTACTGTGGTGAAGGCAAGGTGCTCGACAAATTGACTAAGAGGAGAATAAAACGGAAGATGCTTAGGAAATGCAGAAAGAAGAAGCTATTGCATGAGAATAAACCCAAACCGGATCCTTATTGACTCAAGACTTTCTTCAGCTTTGCATGTAAAGAGGCTAACTAGGTTCCTATACGGGCATTGTGGTATACTGAGCCTTTTGCTCTTGATGGTTCCTGCCTAAGGGAAATTTATTAAGTCCGGACAAAAAAATTAGAAATCTGGACAAATACCGAGTTCTCGTACCGAGCACCTAAGTAACGTGACGCGATTATTTGCTCGGTATTTGCTAGGTATTGCTTTGCAAAAATAAGAAATACCGCTATGTGAAGACCAATACCATGCAAATACCAAGTTGTACCGAGTTTTTTTACAACTCGGTACAACTCAGTATTTGCTCAGGATTTGCTCGATATTGCTAGGTATTTGCTCGGTATTGCTAGAAAAAACTCGGTGCAACTCGGTATTTGCTCGGTATTGCTAGGTATTTGCTTACTATTGCTCGGTATTTGTTATTGACGAGCAAAATCGACCAATACCTAGCAATACCGAGCAATCTTGGATCCGTTCCGAGTCAAGTTGTCGGAGCGCGCGGTAAATAATGAAAACGCGTGGCGCGATTCTACTGGCGGCCGAACGTAGAGTTACGTACGTTCACCGGACCAAATAAAAGTTTCTGTTCGCAAGCACTTAAGAAGAATGTTACTCAAATAATAATTCATTATTGAAACAACTTTTTTTTTAAACTCATCATTCTAAATATTTATTTCTAAAATTCCATTTTATATCAGCAACAATCCAATCAAATAAGGCCTACGTGTAAAATATCTGTTCATAAACTTGATGATGCCCAATAGTTCGATCAGCCGGTAATTCGCTCGTTGGTGACCGGCATTATCCGGTCCAGGGAGCACAAATGAACTCTGGAATCCGGAAGCTGTGTGTCGGCTAGAAAAATAGGGTACTCGCCTTCTCCGTCTTTCCCAAGGACGTCTTTCAACCACGCGCCAGCGTTTGAGAGCCACCAGATCCGTGGCCGGCGAGGAAGTTTGGCCGGTTTTCCAGGTTCTATTATATTCTACCCCGCTCTCCGTTTTCTTCTGCTTAATTGTTGATTTTCCTGGTCGAATCCTTAATTTCAGAAACTGCTATCATTAGTGCCTTTTCTTAAGTCATTAACATTTTTTATGAATCGTGTGAAGTTATGTTAATAGATCGAAGTTGCAGCTTATGTTGGAAACGACTAGTTCTCATCCAGTTGGATTTTTATGATGTGTGGAAGGGTTACTTATTATGTTAGAGGGAATTTATAGATGCAAATTAAATTTAGTTAGTTGTTCTTGCCACTGGCATTGGTTCTTAACTTGAAATAGTGGCTAAAGGTTTTAGTTAGAAGCAGAAATTTATGAATTGAACATGGTAAATGCAAGATTCAGACCTATTTCTTCATCTGAACCCTAGAGAAGGAACTTATTTCTTACCTGCTTTGATGGCACCCAAGGGTAGTAGGCAAGGGGGGGCAACCCATTATGGTATAACCCCTTGTTAGCTTTCATTTTATTTATTACAGGCTTTTTCCATTTCAGTCTTCAATCCACCTTCTACCTGGACCATGCAATGCTTCAGCTGTAGAGAGAAAGACTAATGGGGTAAAATATTGAAAGAGAGAGGGAGTAATGACTTTCCATTGTGGACGGAATGACGAAAAGTTGATTGTTTTAGTGGCTTAACATAGCAACAAGTTTGCCAAGGAGGAAAACTGTTCTAATTTTTGTAATTCTTCTTTTTAAAGTTATTTATTAATCCAGAGAAGCCACCATTATATTTTTGTAGACACATGAAAAGCATCAATGGTTCGTTTTCCCCTTTCCTCCTCTCTCGCGACTCACGACCTTTAGCACAGCTTTTGTTTTCCCTTTAACTCCTCTCTCGCCCCCAAACGAAGACTGCCCGTGACAGATGTTTATGTCTTCTAAGCTCTAAGGGGTATGTTATTTGCATTCTTAATTTTGATCTTACAACTCCTCTTGACTCAGATAATGAGACGGCAAACATAACTATTTTAATGTATTCTAACTTTCCAAATGAGACGACAAACATAATTATTTTAATTTAGGTCCCCCATGAATAAATTTTTTTGCTCCGCCACTAGTTCATATAAGTCAAGCACAACAAAGGGTGAGCAGCTTAGAAAAACTAATAGAAATATTGGGATACTTATCTCTCATCTTTATCACGACTCTGCTTCACACTTAATTTCTTCAGTTATTAATATATATAATAACAACTATCTAATAGTCATTTTGCACCTAAGTGTATTTTTTTTAACCTTCATTGTTTTTTCTTAGGCTTTCTATTTTTTTGTTTTTTTTCTTTTGCAGATATTTTATTCAGATGGCTGCCAGAAGAGGCATTAATCAGCTCTTGGGCTTGAAATTACATTTTAAGGCATCAGTAAGTTATGACATTTTCTGACAACTATCTATTTGGTTACTATTTTGATAGGAAGAGGTTTTTAAGATTTTATTTAGTTCTCCAAATTGACAATAAGGTACTACAATTCATTCAAATTTGCATGTTGTGGTTACTAAGAAATTTACATTTCTTTACGATTACTTGTTGATTGCTGGAAGCAAGTGGTTAATCCCTGAATTTTCTGTTGGAATGTGTCATTTTTAGTGTTTATCTTAATTAAACTTTTATTTTGGTTTGGTTTGGATTTACTTCCTATAATTTTTTCTTTGCTATTTATTAAATGTTTAGATAGATGTATTGCAATGATGCTACTGATAAATCTTTCTAAAGTAATTAATGTTGATGCATGAAAGCTTAGGGTCTAGAGTTTGTAATGCATATTGACAGTAAGATCTACAAAATCACGCAAGCACAATCACGCAAGCACAATCAAATTTGAAGATATGAGACTCATAATTTAGACAACTTTTATTACTTACATGAAAATTGAAAATATTATGAGAAACACATTGATAGTAATTTAATGGCCATGCACTAGAAATGTTGTGTAGAAATCTACAAACATTCTTTCAGTCAATTAAAAATCATGCTATGATAGAAATACAGATTGTTTCAAATTTACTTAAATATCAATCACAAAAAATCCATATTACTATGTAAGGAGCATAAATAGACTACTAGGAAAGTGATCACGTAATCAAGCATCGCTCTTGTACAAGAAGATCACCTCATTTGAAAAAAATTGTTAGCTCCCACTTAGATATGATAATTAGAAGGGAATTACACATATATAAGCTTAAATTTTATTCAGACATACTTGATTTCATTTTTACATGCATCAGATCCCTTTTTATGATCACTAAGTTCCCCTTAGTTTTAACATTAAAAAAATTTAGAAAATAAAGTTGGCCACATAAGTTGAAGCAATTTTTTCAACTTGAAATCCTGAGAAAACACAACTCTTGCATGATAGGTAGAATAAGAGGATCTGATAGAGCTATAGCCTTAAAGTAAAGTTTGCAGACAATCTAGATGCATCTAGTTGTAATAGAGACTTGTGAGTCTTAAAGTGAATGAAGATAGGAGGATCATGGGATGGGTTTGTGTAAAGTCTGCATCAAATACGGTGCATATTCATTTTGTTTGCTGAAAAAGCCCAATTTTCTTTCTTTTCTTTTGATTATATTTGTTGTTATTCAGAAATTATATAGTATTTGCACTATTGTCTATTATGATTGAAGAGCTAACACCTCTTTGATATCATTTCCAATTTAATTCTATACATCTCTAAGAATTATTATTGTTGATTAGCTGAATTCATATGCTGCCTTTTTCTTATAATCTTAAATTTGATGTAGTTGTTGATAAGTTTTTTTTTTAGAAAGACCCTTAACAAGCATACCCTTCCAAACCTCTTTATAAGAATACATCAACCTCATGAATTTGAGGTTAGACTACTATGTTGATTACTATTTTTTGTCACTTGTAGCGGGCAAATATCCTTTTTTGTTTTTCTTGATTTTATTCATATAAAGTTTACATTTTCTTTTATTATATGAGATCCACACATCTAGTAGTATTTGCATATAACCCTTTATGGGTGAGTATCTTTTGTATCTACTAATTCCCCATGGTATCGCTTGTCAGTGCTTTTCATTATATATATTTTTCATTTTGGTTGGTTGAAGGTGCACGTAAGCTGTTAAGGATTGTAATATATAGGTTAAACTGATTAGTTCTTGAGCATTAAACATGCATTTGATTTGAACTTGTGTAATGTTTCATGCCAAAACATTTGTAGCAGTAGAGTAAAAGAGTTGAACATTCTAGTATTATACGAAGATTCAACACACAATTAAAATAAAAGTTTCTAGAGATACCAGAGCTTTTATTTTAAAAAAAAATTGTAAAAGAGAAAACTATGGGGCCAGACCTAGCTGAAATGATTCCACTAATCATTATCATCAGTTACAAATGATGCCCTCTCCTATGATTGGGTAAGGTATTAATAAATATAGTAAACATACAATGTATTGTACATATTTCTTTGCTGAAGTTAGAAAAGCCTTATGGTATGTGCGCATTTTGAATATATTATTTGTTGTTTGTTTTGTCATTCTCCCTTGAGGAGGGGAGTTGGAGATGAAGTAGTCCAACATGAATCATGGTTTGAGATTGGTATATAGAGTTGGTGTTGATGAATCAGTCTCATGAGTGATGACATGCATTGACTTTGTTGGCAATGACAGGTGATGAAGTCATTGGTTGTCGGTGTAGATATGTAACAATGATCAAATGGTCGTATTTGGACGACTATGGTCAAAAGAATATAGTATGGCAATTATTGTTGTAGTAACACAGTCGAGTGACAGTAGTTGAAGGACTGCAGCCGGACAACAGTGGTTGGAGGACCATAATCAGACTATAGTGATCAAAGGATTACAATTGAGCGACATTGGTCGGAAGTCTGTAGTCCGATTACGGTGGTCAGATGATCGTAGAAGGGACCCAATGTTCCACTGATGATAGTCCGATGGCAACGATTAGATGATCATTTGATGGTGGTGGTTTGATGATGGTAGTCAGGATATTGTTTAATGGTGACAATTAGGTGGTGGTCTGACGGTGGTTCTTAGGTGAAGCTCCAGGATTCTTCAACCCTTTGAGCTCTCCTGAGTCTCCAGCTAGGGTCTATGATGAGGACAAGCTATTTTATCACCTTATTATTTTTATGTTGTCGTTTATCATCAAGAGGAAGCTTATAACTATTGTGCTTTAAAATTTAAGCGTGCAAACTTCCTTAATTTAATCATCCATGCTTGTACGTTTCACATCAGTCTAGGCTCTCCCTTTATATATAGAGAGCATGTGCTTTTTTTTAGATTTTGAGAGTTGCATGCCCCCTAAATGCTGTTAAAATTAAAAAAAAACTCTATCAATGACTTGTATTAATTTCGTTGATCATATGTTATTTCAACAACATTTAAGCGTCTTAATGATTTTAGGCTCTTGGATTTGTCTCGTTGGGACGCTCAATTTGATTATAATCATGCTAGATTTGAATATCGTTTGATCCTGGAATTAGTATGTTGAAGTTTCTTTTCACGCTTGAAGTGCTCAATCTGACTCATTTCGATTTCGACCATATTACTCTTGAAGTTGATTGGTTCATCTTGTTGAGTTATTTGGTTTGAATATCAACTTACTGAAATATGAGTTCAAATGATCCAGAATTTAGTTATACAGTTTCTAATTTAAATATAAATCAAGATTCATGCATGTTCAAATCGATTTTGATGATGTATTAGTCACCCAACTATTTTGCAAATCAAAAGTTGTGTTGTACAAAAATATATATTTAAGAAATTGAAAATTATCACAGTGCAAAATTACAACTTCGAAAAAAATTTATGAAGCATGTCACTTCCTGAATGCTCCAGTTATTTTTTTATAAAAGGCGCAAAATTGTTCTACAAGGGTTTGAATACCATTGGAGGCGATGAAGGCTCGTATTCCCACGACAAGGCTTTGGTTTTCCTTCCCTTGAAAGAAACATTGACTATCCTTATTGGACAAGTTGGAAGCAGCTAGGACTTCCAATCCCTACAACAATACTCTGGTCGTCCCTTGAAAGAGGTGTTGATTGTTCTCATTCAATAGACCGATTACGAATACGAATAAGTCTTCCAGTCTTTATGATGAGACTTTGATCTTCCCTTGAAAGAGTTGCAAATTGGTCTCATCAGATGAATCAAATCGCTTGGAAGCTGAGGCAAGGGTTTGAAGGCTGTAAAAGACTTCTTATAATGTTCATAAAGAATGTGATAATATCATATAAATTTAGTAGTTTAGTATGCAAACTTGAGATTAGACTACTTCTTTGTACAACCCATATATTTATGTGATCTATTCAGGCTGTTTGTTTGAGCATTTTTTTTATGATGTCAACTTGTGTGAAAGAGGTCCAGAGAAATCGACTAAGGATATTTGACTTATTTGAGGTTAGTTGTCAGAGCATTACTCTATAACGTTAATATGTGTGAAAGTTGCTGAGAGAAATCCTCCAAGTATGTTTGATCAAACTAAGGTTGTTAGAGTATTGCTTGATGATTTTAAACTTTTTAGAAGAGGTTGAATCAAATCCCCACATGATCAATTGTATCTTAATTGGGAGGGTACAAATACCACATGCATTTTGAATTGAAGGTGAGCATTGGTTTATCTTTAGACCAGTAGCACCCTTTTGAGGAGTGGAAGTTTAGTTGGGGATTATGCATAATTTAAAATTCACTTGAGACTTTCTAAAAAAAATATTATTTTTTGCTATAAGCTTTAAGAAAGATGATTGCTTGCAGGATTTCCTTGAATCCATATAAAAATTTCCAAGACAGACTTGAGCAAAATCATGCACGAGATGTTAACATGAATATCCCTTAAATTTTTTAGCCAAAGTTGCCTCTCAGCCATGATATGCTTCCCATGAAATTGATGTAACAATGGATGTTAGAGGGGAGGTGCTTTATGACCACATACATACATAGGACATTGTATATTTGGTGTTGCAGTTGAAGTGCCCCTCAATCTTAACTTACTATTTTCAGAACTGATAAAAATAGCAGATGACTTGGGGATTAACTTGCTACAATCATGCATAAGAAGTTGACATGAATGATTGTTCATGGTTGTAGCAAGAGTTGCGCCCCCCCTCCCCTATTGGTGTCAAGCAGTTGTGTGCATTACAGTAAAGTGAGAGAGTTTAGCTGTTTTGGCTTGTACAAAAATCTAATACATACACATATAAAAGTAAGAGACACCATAGTTTTTATATTGAACACCTATAAAAGGGAAAATCATGGGCCTAACTTAGCTAGTTGACATGATTCTACCAATGTTCTCCATTAATTATAAATTATGTCCTTTTCTATGATTAGGGAAGGTGTTGTCAAAATATAGCAAACTTACAATGTACAGAATGTATTTTATGGTGGACATTGGAAGAGTCATGTGGCTTGGGAGCTATCTTTGACAAATCATTTGTTATTTGTTTAAGGCATCATTCCTTGAAGAAGAGAGATTAGAGGTCAAGAAATCCAGCATAAATCTTGGTGCGCAGGAGATAGAATTGTTTTAGATGACATGCATCGATCTCACTGATGATTGTGTGCGTTGATGTTGCTGGTGATGGCAGATGATGAAGTTAATGAGCATCAATATCGATAGGTGACAATGGTCAAATGATCTCAGTTGGATGATTTTGGTTAGAGGATCATAGTCGGATGACAGTGGTTTGAGGTTTGTAGACGAGTGATGGATGTTAGAAGATCGTAAACGGTTGATGATGATGATGATGATGATCGAAGGATCGTTGGAGGGCAACAATGGTGAGGACACTATAGTCAGGTGGAGATGATGAGAGGACTATAGTTAGATGATTGGAGGATTATAGTTAGGCTACAGTGTCCTGAGAACTGTAGTCGGGTGACGGTGTTTGGTGGATCATAATCGAATGATGGTGGTCGCATGAATGTAGTTGTGCAATGGTTCTTTGGGAAATGTAGTCAGGTGACGATAGTTGGAGGATGTAGTCGGGTGATAGTGGTCTGATGGCAACGATCATGTAGTGGTTCGGCAGTGGCGGTCGGGTGCTAATACGATGGTCATAGTTTGATGGCGGTGTTTTGATGATGATGCATGGGTGGAGCTTTGAAATTCTTCAAGTCTCTAAGCTCTCTTGAGTCTTAATTGAAGGTCCAAACTCTCCCTTTGTCTATAGAGTGGGGTCTTATTTATAGATTTTGAGGTTGTCATGCTGCCCCTTAAATATATTCAAAATCTAAAACGCTCCATTGGATGATCCATATTAAATCTCTCAATCATAGGTCGTTCTTTCGGCATTTGAGTGCCTTGATGATGTCAGAATTAGATGATTTTGGGCTCTTGGAACTATAAACATTTAAAATTTAGATATAGTTTGGTCCTTCAATTAGTATACCAAGATTTTCTATTGTGCTTGAAGTGCTTATTCTTGCTCATTTTGACTCGGATGGAGGCACTTTTGGCGTTGATGGGCTTATCTCATTGAGACGTTTGGTTCAACTATAAGTTTGTTAAAATCAGAGTAGATGATCTTGAGTTTAATTCTAAAAGTTGCCAATTTAAATATGCACTGAGATTCATGCCCGATCAAGTCGATATTTTGATGGCGTGTCATGTAGCTTTTGTGAAAGATAGTTGTTTCCTTGGTGCATGGTTTTGGTCCACCTGTTCAACACTTCCATGCCTTATACATAACCGTGGCAATGTTTTATAGGGGTTTCATGAAGAATGCAATCTAACTGAGTTTGACTTTTAGAATTATGAATAGCCATTGGCCACAAACTAGCAGGTTTTTATATGGTTCCAAAGGTTGAACTTTGTGCTTAATTACACTTAAATGCAAGTTTTTAATTATATTCTCCTGGCATGTTGTGACGGAATCTCCCGTCAGTTTTAGGATAAAATATTATATATGTCACATTACTGTAATATGTAAGCTGCATTCCTGCACGCCAGCTCTCATAAAAATGCTGTTGATTTCCTTCCTTTGCCAATTATTGACGGTAACAAGTTGAAGATTTATGTTGTATATCTAGGTAAATGATATATGCTTATTGTCAACTGGCACACTGTTTTTGTGGTGATCGCTATATCATGTGCATTGTTGCTTATAATCTGCTACATCTGCCCTCATGACATGTTGTCCACTTATTACCTTCTGTACTCATTATTAGTTAGCCTTTGGGAGCCGTGTTCTAGTAATCTAATTTTTCCAATTTTACGTGCAGATTCCGCTGATGTCATCTTTTCTGACGAAGCAGAATCCAGAAGTTGCTGGACCTGCCAGTACTAAATCTCTTAGAGCATTGGTACTCCTTGGAGCTGGTGTTTCTGGAGTTTTAAGCTTTGCCACCATAGCTTCTGCTGATGAAGCAGAGCTTGGTCTGGCTTGTCCCAGCTATCCTTGGCCCCACAAAGGCATCCTTAGCTCCTATGATCATGCATCGTGAGGATCTTTTTCCAGTACTCATTTGATTATTGATCATATCTACGCTGCAATTGTTAAACAAGGCTAACTTTCAATTTGCATGAACAATTTCTATTATTCTGTTAAATGGCTGAGGTCCAAGTACAAAATATATGCGTTGGACATAGAATTCCTCTTAGTTTTGTAAGTGGTCCTCTCTATGTTTATATGTAGTGATACTTCCAAGTTGTAATGTATTGCTAGAATCCGCCGTGGTCATCAAGTTTACCAGCAAGTCTGTGCTTCTTGCCATTCAATGTCTCTAATTTCATATCGAGATCTTGTTGGTGTGGCATATACCGAAGAAGAAGCAAAGGCATTGGCAGCAGAGATTGAGGTAGTTGATGGCCCGAATGATGAGGGCGAGATGTTTACTCGTCCTGGCAAACTAAGTGATCGCTTTCCTAAGCCATATGATAATGAACAAGCAGCTCGGTTTGCCAATGGTGGAGCATATCCTCCAGACTTGAGCTTGATAACTAAGGTAATATTATTTGGATTTTTTTTTTGTAGTTACTTGTTTTCCAGTAGATTACTGATTCTTAAATTACAATCCTATTCTTTTAGGCTCGACATAATGGACAAAACTATGTTTTTGCCCTTCTTACTGGGTACCGTGATCCTCCTGCCGGTATTTCGGTAATTTGCCAATTCTTTTCTCTTAGATGTCATACTTTATATGTTTAAGATAAATAGTTTGTGGTTTCATTCAGTCTGTTGAATTTCAACCGTCCAGTATGAAATATGTCTTAATTATTTGACTTTATTAAATAAGCAATTTTTTATTGTTTCTTACTATTGCATTGTATCAGCATCGATGCTCAATGCTGAGTGAATTTTCAAAATCCAAATCCATATAAATAGAAAATGCTCTTTACAACTCATCAACTTTGTATTGTGATAGGGTTTTGTCATTGAAACATTCATAACCGTGTTTTAAATCATTGCATGAAATCATTGATTTTCTTTGTTTTTAATTAAATGATCTTGTTGCTTATGAATGATTTTTTCTGGTGAGAATTCCATTATGCAATATTCATCACCACCAACATCATCAACTTCATCTCAATTGAGGAAAGAATCAAAATTGTTAATTGACTTTTTATGAAAAATCAAAATGATCCCCAATTATATTAGGACCATTTTGGTTCCTCAAGTTTAAAAAAAAACTATTTTGATTTCTCTTTAAGGAGTTGAGGGATCAAAATAGTCTTTTAATATAGTTGAGGAATATTTTGATCTTTCATAAAGAGTCACGGGACTATTTTGATCATTTTCTCTATCCCAATTAGTTGTGATTGACTTTATGAATCTTCATTATGTAGTTATTTTTTATTAGAGTTCTTTTATTCTCTATTTTGCATCAATAATTATAAATATTTAAGTTGAATTTCTTCAGTACGGGTTTGAATGACAAGTTGTGGATATGTTTGCATTTGTTCACCATTGGCTAAAAGCAGTAAGGTCTCTAAATATTTCATTTTATTGTCTTTTTGTTTACATTGCATTACATCTACATTTAAAATTATAATTCTTTTGAAGTTCTGCATCGAAAAGAGTTGGTATAAAAAATGGTTTATCCAATGCATCCAACTATATAATTAGGGTTTGGGTAGGGGCTGCTTAACACATGCTTGCCCTATATTCCATAGAACTATTTTCATGACTCAGTATGCAAAGCCTATTAACCGCCACATCTCATAATCTGGTAATTGTTCTTAGTTGACTCTTTTAAATTCAGTCACCCTGATGAGCATGGTGTGTATTATGAATGCCAGCTTTTTAAGCTCATCAAAAGATTGATTCTCATGACTACAATGTTTGAGAACATTGTGCACTAATATAAAAATGCAATTCTATCTTGCATGCCATTTCCATCACTTTTGCAAATTCACTTAACATAGGATAGCACAATAAAAACTCCAAGATAGGCATTAATGCACCATTTCTGTGGAAGCTCTGAGTTGACATTATTACTTCTGAAGCTTTAATCTGGTGTAAAACATTTCGTCATACGTTAGGTAGCTTCTGTATGAGGAGCATCAATCAATATCTTATTGATGTTGCAAATTATTGGGTTAGCAGCTTTTCGCCCAGTGAATTCTTCTTTTTAGACTTTTGGTGATGGATTCATAATGATGTTATGATGCTAAATCCTTGTTGAACCTTCTTAAAATTTGATAAGTATGGAAGTTAGTAGCCTTGTGGATATTGGCAAAGAAGCCATTACTGAAAGATCCTCTCTAGACACAATAAAACCTAGAAAAAAAAAAGCATGGAAAGTGCATTTCCACATTTTGACGGAGGTTTTTTTGCCGCGTAAAAGCTCAAAACCCCCTTTCAAGTCAAGATAATGGTTTTCGTTGGTCATAATGCAAATTAAAATGTTGTCAAAAGGCAGAGAATATGCTAAAATTGGATGGAGCTAATGCTCCATTTCTCATAAATGTACCTAACATAGTGGTTAGCCCAAAAAGCCTAGCCAATCTTTGGTAAAGTCCATACTTCTTCATGAAGATTGCCTTCTGATCATTACCACAACTGATGCTAAATTTGTGGTATCAAATATGTAGATCTATTTCAATAGAAAATCACAGATCTAGTAATTTTGAGCTTGCTGTTATGTTGAGGTTCTTAGTTACGGGACAAGCCCTTAAATAATTTTGGAAATCATAATCCCGTGTAAAAGTGTTAATAATAACTAATAGTGACATGATTAGTGAGTAATGTGGTAGCAGTAGCTAGAAACTTTCAAATTGAAAATGAGTTCTATGCATGGTAAATTTAGAAAACTGACAATCTCTCTAAAAAGTGTTGACCTCAAATAAAGCTTTTGAGGACAACTGATATGGATAAAGTCGGGTCAAATTTAGGCTATTGTATCAAAAGGGAATCACATTTACAGCTCTATTATAAGAGAAATTATTTTGTGCGGAGACTGGACGGCAAGAACCGTCTGGATTTGCTGTACTTTTACTACCCTTTTGCTGCTCTTTTGCAAATACTGAACAAAAGGGCAGCAAATATGCAATTATGAAAAGCACTTTTGTCGAGTACCTGCTGCGCTTTTACAAAAGGCCAGCAAAAGCGCTGCAAATATCCTACTAATTGGATATTTGCACCTTTTTGTAAAAGCGTAGTAAATACTCAACAAAAGTGCATTCATAATTGCATATTTTTGCTTTTTTGCTGAGTATTTGCAAAAGCACAACAAAAGAGCAGTAAAAGCGCAACAAACCCTGATGGTTCTTGCCATCCGGTCTCCGCATAGAATAATTTCTCCTATTTAAATGGTAGTTGGAGGTCTCGGAATAGGACACAAGTCATTTGCTTACAACCCTCAGCTTAATAAATCGGTAATATACTCGATCAAATGCCAATCAACTCAAAGTCAACCCAATCACTTATTGATTATCTCAAATTCAATATGGTCATCTACTAGTGATGGTACCCTTGCCGAATAATGAACAATCAACTCTTTAAACCCAAGTAATCCAATCAACATTGTTTGATTGTGGTTATGGTCAACTCTACTCTATCTTTATTGACCTTATCAACTTTAGTGAACCCTCTTAAGATCAGTCAATTGATGCGTCTTGGAAATAATAAACAACAAACATGAGAGAAGAAAAGCGCAAGACACAAGAGAATGGCTTTTTTTTTTTTTGGATTTCTTCTTCAAAAGCAAAGAAAGATACAATTGATCTACTATTTGAGAGGTAGATCAACTCTCCTACAAACCCTAGCCGTTGCTAGGAGACTCCTAAATAAAACTTCAAGAAGCACAGATTCTGCATAATTGAAAATATAATATGATTAGCCTTAAATAGGCTTCTCAAATTCCCTCACAAACCAGCCGCTTTCCTTAATTGATTCCCTCTCCAATTTAAATTTGATTTGGATCTCTTTCCTAAATCCCCAATTATAATTAAAACCTTCATAAATCAATCTCCCTCTATTTCTCTTTCTTACGTATTGAATCAAATCCTTCCTAACCCCCTCTTGCTCTGCTAGCTCCTGCCCCCCTTTCTAGATTTGATTCTTCCGAACTGGGAAAGCAAGTAACATCAAGTTGTGGTGAGTTCAGACAATCAAGATAGTTTTTGTGGGAAATGGATGAAATTTAAATTCTAGATTGTTAAGATAAGTTCCTACAAATTTTATGTTCATCACTTTGGCTAATTTGGGCTCTATACAACCCAAATGCTTGCAAACTGCAGGAATCTGAAATCTTAAAATCAGCTTCACCATTTTTCAATATTATGGGTATATCTCTTTTATTTCTTATCGGAAATAGATGAAATTGGATCACCAGATCCTTGAAAAAATTCCGGACAACTTTGGTGTTCATTAGTTTGGTTAATTTTGACTCTATTTAATCAGATTCTTGCAAACTTCAAAAACTCGAAATCTGAGTTTCTGAAATCTGGTTGATCACCATTTAGTATGTTTTGTTAAAAAACAAATTCTCATCTAAATCTAATAGAGAAATGTCATTTCTAATATTTTTTAACCAAGTCTTTTTAGGTCTAGCTCTACCTTTATAACATGGTCCAAATCTAATACATCTACTATCCTAATAGGATCATCAGAAGGCCTCCGTTTTACATGACCAAACCATCTAAGGCAACTCTCTCTAATCTTATGTCATTGGAGTTACTCCAACCTTTTCACTGATATGCTCGTTTTGTATCCTAGCTTTCTAAGAGTAAATCCACACATCCACCTAAGCATCCTCATCTCAACAACACTTAAATTAATATTATGCTTCCCTTTTAATGGCCAACATTTCTCACCATAAAGCATTGAAGGCCTTACCACCATCTTATAAAAATTTCCCTTAAGTTTGAGTGGTTCTTTTCTATCACACAACAAACCCGAAGCATTCCACCACTACAACCATTCAACTTGAATTCTACTAATAATATCCCCATCTATTTCACCATCACTCTAAACAATAGACCCAAGATATCTAAAATGAGTACACTTATTAATGACTTGATCGTTTAAAGTCGCAAACCCCCAACTAGATCTATTACTACTAAAATTACCCTCCTAGTTTTCGGTTTTAGATCTACTCAAATGAAAACGTTTAGACTCTAATGTTAACCTCCATAATTCGAGTTGACCTTCAACTCTGCCTCTAGTCTTATCAACAAGGATAATATCATCAGTAAAAAGCATACACCAGGGTACATCCTCTGGCAAATGTCTAGTAAGAACATCTATGACTTAAGTAAAAAGATAAGGGCTTAAGGTTGATCCTTGATGTAATCCAACTGAAATAGGAAAATACTTGGTCAAAGTCAAAGTGTCAAACCACATTGTGTTTGAACACAATTAACAAACATACATATCCGTAATGACTTGAATATAAGCATTATTAAACCATTCCTTTTCTAGAACTCGCCATAACACTTCTCTTGGAACTTTTTCATATGCTTTCTCTAAGTCAATAAATATCATACGTAGATTCTGCTTATTCTCTCTAAACTTCTCCATCAAACCTCTCCATAAATGTATAGCTTCCATAGTAGACCTACCTGGCATAAATCAAAATTGATTTTGAGAAACATTAGTATCCCGCCACAACCTATGCTCCATAACTCTCTCCGATAGTTTTAAAGTATGACGCAATAACTTAATTCTTCTATAATTCACACTATCTTGTGCATCACCCTTATTCTTAAAAATAAGAAGCAATACACTCATTCTCGACTCATCTAACATCTTTTTTGTCTTCAAAATAATATTAAAAAATTTAGAAAGCCAAGAAATTCCTTTCCTAAGCATTTCCACACCTTTATTGGAATATCATCAAGTCCACTAGTTTTTCCTCTTTTCATTTTCTTTAAAGGCTCTTTAACTCCGGTTTTACTAATACGCCAATAAAAATAAAAATCTTCACTTTATTTTATAGTGCTAAGGTCACTAAAGTCAATCATATTCTCATAATCTTCATTGAAAAGCTTAGCAAAATATTTCATCCACTTTTGTTGAATATCCTATTCTAAAAAAAAAATACTTTTTGATCTTCATTCTTAATGCACTTATCTTGAACAAAATACTTACTACTCATATCTCTTTGTTTGGCTAGCTTATACATATATATTTCATTAAAAAATTAAATTATTTGCATCACATATTACTTTTTTAGACATCTTACGAGTCTCTATATATCTTTCCTAATTTTCAGAGTTTTTATATCTAAAACAATTACTGTAATCAATTAAGTAAAAGAAAGAAATTTAATTTCATTTTAAGTTAGTAATTGATATCGATTGATTAATTAGTTATTTATTATTATAAATTAGGATTAGTATATATGGATTCACACTATTTATATGCATCTTGAATGAATAATTATTATATGAAGTGGCTATTATGTCTTTTTAACTATATAATGGGTGATAAATTATCAACAACATCAAGCCTTTATCTCATTAATCCTTTTTCTCCATTGTGTCTGTTAAGAATAAAATTTTCATTCAAATCTAATAAACAAAAGGTCATTTCTAATATCCTAACCAAGTCCTTTTAGGTCCACCTCTTTTTTTTTTTAACATAGGCCAAATCTATTACATTTACTCTCCTAACTGGGTAATTGGAAGGCCGACATTTTATGTGACCAAACTATCTAATGCGATTCTCTTTAATCTTATCTGCCACTGAAGCTAGTCCAACCTTATCAGAAATATAATCTTTTCACATTCTATCTGTAAGAGCACCTAAGCATCCTCATCTCTCCAACACTTAATTTAATGGGTGACAAATTATCAATTAGATATTTTTAAATGACACTAAATCAATAACTTAACATACCCATTAAATTTATACCGTCCATCACACATGCAGTTGGGTGTATGGTAATTATGTGAACATGAGAGCAGGTGGTTTTCTGTTTAAAATAGTTGCTAGTGGCCCCTATTTCCGATTAGGCTAATCAAGCAATTAAAGACTAATCATTTCCTTTGTTTGAACAGTATTGACTACTATGAGACTTCGTCTTAATTGGAAGCCCAAAAATTGAGTTGGTTATGTTAGTTTTATTAGTTGAACGTTGTGATCATATGGTGAAACATAAAAATGCATGTGATGTCAAATTAGGATTGTTTCTTGTCTGTCAAAAATATCGTGGAATACATTCTTGGAGGCTTTCAATGTCTTGCTGGTTTTGTGATAGTTACACAATTTGGATGGTTGTGGAGTGTCATGATGGCTAAGACATAGCTCTAGGGTATAGGTGCCGTGATGTGTTGTCACATCACTTACGATCCATTGAGTACCATCATCTTCTCTTCCTCTATCTCTCTCAACTCTTCATCTCCCTCTCTATCTCAGAGCTTAGGATCTACAGAGCACCATCACCAACTTCCCTGGCCCCTAGTGGCCCTCCCCTCACCTGTATCTCTCACTCTCTCTCAACACAAACGCACACACAAGTACATTACTTCTATCTCTTGCTAGCCTTCACCCTTGATTGCCGTGGAGACCAGATAAAACCTTAAGGAATTAAATTAATTTGGTTTCAAACTGATCCTTGTCTGGTCTAGTTCCATTCAGGATTAATGTTTAAACCTTAATTCAATTTCTTGCTCACCACCCTTTCTAAGTTTAAAAATTAGAAACATTTGTTTGGATTGAAGAAAAGTGAAGAAAATAAAATTAAATCACCAGAATTTAGGGTTCAGCATGCATATGCAGTCCTTGATTGAGCTTTTCTTTTTTATGTTTAATTTTTTTCTCTTTTGTTTTAATTTTATTTCATTCAAATTCTCTGCATCTACAGTTCTAAACATAGCCTTAATTCAAACTGAGCTTTGTCTGCCTGGTTCCGAGTTCTAGGGTAATTGTAAGGCTCTTAGATTATCTGATTGTACATGCGAGGCCAAATGACTAGTTCTAAGTCTAATCTTTAAGGGCTCTTATTGCACAAAAAGTTACAGTTTGTTTTGTGGTGAGAACCTGATATTAATGATAACTTTGGGAAATTTGAAGGGTGGTAATTTTTTTACATGCTTTCCATGTATTAATTCTTTTGTTATTCCACTATTTTGATTGCTTGAGCCTCAAGTGTAGAAAATTTCTTCATTCATGATGATAATGATCTTTGTGCAAACCTAAATAGGTCTGGTCCATTTTAATTCCACTGCTCGGATTCATGTTTCCTTGTTTTTTTTTCAATTATTTTTAATTAATGCCCTCCAACATTCTCCTTAAAATATGGTAATTTTAACACCGTTCTTTCTGTTTAAATTCTATTAAATGTTTATTTAAGTGAGGCTAAGGCTTCATTTGGGACGGCTTATTTACTGCTTCTTAAAGCAGTTTTTTTTTTTTTACAAAATATTTAATTTTTTATTAGAAAGCTGTTTTAAAAAGCAGTAAAAAAGCCGTCCCAAACGAAATCTAAATCTATTTTAAATTTTGCTGTTAAACTGTTTTGTCTTCCGGAAAAATACATTGGCCGTATTTATTTGTTCTCTTGAATTTGCACTAGATTCAGCAAATAAACCACTTTTTACCTTTTCTAATCAACAATCATGCATGCTCGTAGGTACTAATAATTTTTGTTTTGCCTTTTTCTAATAAATTGTCATGCTTGTCTTTTGGACAAATTCTAGATTCGAGATGGTCTGCATTATAATCCATACTTCCCAGGCGGTGCTATAGCTATGCCTCAAATGCTTATTGATGGTGCTGTCGAGTATGAAGATGGCACTCCTGCCACTGAAGCCCAGGTATCTTCTTATTATTTATGTTCATATATATATATATATATATATGTAATGACAATTTTAGCTGATGTCATGGAACCTTCTAAGATGTTTTATTCTACTTCTATTCCCATTGTAGATGGGGAAAGATGTTGTATCATTCTTGACTTGGGCAGCTGAACCAGAGATGGAAGAGCGCAAATTGGTAATCTTTTTCTCACTTGTTTGCATGAGATGCATGAAATTTTTTGGCTTCATTTGGTTTCACATTATTTCTATTTAATTTTACCAAACTATACAAATTTATATGATAAATACGCTTAAAATGAGGGATTTGCATACATGCAATTTAATTCTTATATATTTATATACCTAATACATAAATCTTTATTTTTATTTATATAGCACTCCTGCATCTAAATCACATCAAAATATATGCATGAAAAAATATATTTCAATTCAAATAAGTTAAGATTAGTGTTAATTTTAATGTGATTATATAAGTAAATATAAAGATTTAGATATTAGACATATAAATACATAAGAATTTAGTGATATGTATGCAAATCTCCTTTAAAAATTTACTATTATATATGTGCACATTGATCAATATTTTTTGCCAGGTAAGATTAGAGGGAGTCTCCTTACATGGTTTGGTCACATAAAACAATGGCCTTCCGATGGAATTTTTATTGCGTCCTCCCACCTGACGTAGAGATACGTCCTCCCACCGCCAAAAAACTCGGTTTTTGCTCGGTATTGCTAGGTATTATTTGATAATAACGAGGAATATCATCATGTGAAGACCAATACCGAGTTATACCGAGCTGTACCGAGCAATACAAAAAAATACCGAGTTCTTTCTAGGAAAAACTAGGTATTTTTTTGTATTGCTCGGTATTGCTCGGTATAACTCGGTATTGGTCTTCACATGATGATATTCCTCGTTATTGTTTGGTATTACTCGGTATTTGCTCGGTATTTCTCGTTTTTTAGCGCGAATTTAGCTCTGGGAGGACGTATCTCTACGTCAGGTGGGAGGACGCAATAAAAATTCCTTCCGTTGACCCGTTTATGAAAGTAGAGGTATTAGATTTGGCTTATGTTAAGAAAAGTAGAGATATACCTAAAAAGAATTGGTTAGAAAATATTAGAAATGATCATATTTACACGAGAATTTGACTTTTAACAGTACACAATGGAGAAAAAGGATTCATATAGCTGACCCCACATAGTTGGACAAAGGCTTAGATTTTTTTTTAGATAGTTCATGATAACAAAGGCTTGATGTTGTTGTTCTTGTTCATAAGCTCATTTTTAAATAACCTGATCACTAATCGACCTGTCATGTAGATGGGATTCAAGTGGATATTTGTGCTGTCTCTTGCTTTGCTTCAAGCTGCATACTATCGGCGCCTGAAGTGGTCTATATACAAGTCACGCAAGCTGGTTCTTGATGTTGTCAACTGACCTTATTCTCTGCAATAATTTTGTGGAAACTATGTCAATAAACAAATTTGGGTGGATGTAATTGCAAAAGGGATTTTTTTTCTTGAGCCCAATTCTTTTCTTCTATTTTGCAAGGAAACTAAATAATCCTTGTGATGTTTATTCCATGCAGTGGATTGTACTGTTAACTTTCTTCTAAGTTTTTCATACGTGCTGATACATGATCATGCATGGCAACTTTTTATTTATTTATTGTTATTTTATGAGATCTTAGTGTCAATAGAAGGGATATAATTGTAAAAAAATTGTTAGTAACTTCCAAAACATTTATCAATTAGGCACCTTCAAGATAATATTTTGGTTTTTTTAATTTGTTTTGATAGTATCTTTTGAGGTGCAGTAAATATTTTACTGCAATTACCAAAAAAAAAATAATTGCAGTTACTTTTTATTTACCCCAACATTGTTTGCAACTAAAGTTTCGTTTGGGGTGATTTTTTTATTGTTTTTTAAAATAAATTTTTAGTTAAAAATTTATACTAAAAATTATTTTAAGTGGTAAAAGTCCTCTCAAACAAGTGAAATTTTTCTGTGTCGATATGAATACCAACGGAGGCAAATCAGAGCATGTAAAGTCATCCTTTGTTGTGTATTGTGGTTATGTACACGCCGTGTACCTAGTGATGTGACATGCTTTGATTCACCTCCAGATGATTTGCTATCCATATAGAATAATTTCTCTCCAAATGAAGCATAAATCTATTAAATTGAAATATTATCATTTCTTGTTTGAGTGAGTTAGGTTCAACTCAATTTCAATTTCAAGTGGAGCTAATTTATGTGCTAAATTGAATCAAATATCCTAATTTAAAAAAAAAAAATCTTAATTTTAAATTGATTCAAAGTGTATATTTTTTGGATTGTTAAAAATTTATATTTAATATCAATTACATATAATATTAAAATGTATATATTGATGCCAAGATTTTTAATGATTTTCCTACGACCACTAAATTAAAAGACAAATCCCAGTTGGTTCACATGAAAGCAGAATATATTTTTTAGGTTTATAAAATTTCATGTAATTTGCAGGCTTGATAAATGTGCCAATGAACAATATCAACATAATTGCATTAAAACATTTTTTTAAAGGCACCAATACACAAAGGGACATAAATTCATACTTAATTAATGAGTACAAAATATAAATCAAACAATCAACTAGTCTTGATCGAGAACTTGTCTTTGACTTTATTGAATTATTTTTAAATATGGAAAGCTCGAGAAATGATATGAGTGTAGAGGAGATATAGAAGAATTCTAAGTAGCAAAACGAGTAGGTTTTAAAAGAAATAATTCTTGTAACTTGCCAAAGATGGAAGCAAGGAAGATGCCACAAAGGAAAATTTATGTTATGGAATTCAACCATAAATCTTCATTCCAAGAATTTTAACACTCCAATTTTAGTGTAAAACATCATCAATCCATTCATTAATTCAGCTAAGGATATTTATGAACTCTTACATAAAAGAAAACTTTAAATATAAGCAAAAGGAGGGAGGAGTTAGGCAGGCTTCTCATGAAAGGGTGCTTGAGTGGTTCAAGCACGCCTTGGTGAAGAAGAATTTCGCACTAAGGATGGTTGTAGGTGATCACTCTTAGGTTTCGTTTGGGACGACTTTCTTACGGCTTCTTAAAGCAGTTTTCTAGTAATTTTTGTACTAAAAAGCTGCTTTAAGAAGCAGTAACAAAGCTGTCCCAAACAAAATCTTAATGAGGTAGTTACATTTTTATGTAGTTACCTCTCATTTGAGTTTAAGGGGCATTTCTCTCCACGGTTTGATTTGTGACCTCAAAGTTTGAAATTTTGAATTTCAAAATTTTAAATTTTAAAATTTGAAATCCAAGTTTTTTCAAATGTCACAAAAACACACATTGCAACAATTTATTCTTAAACTAATGAGAATAACAAATAATATAAATAAACCTAAATTAATGGTCTTATTTGGGCTTTTGTGATTGGCCCATATCTAATTCCATCTTATATGGCCTTAAATTGGTCCATTTCAATCTCCACGTGCTCCCTATGCTATATATCAGATTATTGCTTCAATTGTTGCTATTGTCCCCAAGGCCTATTATTGGTTTGTGGTTCACTTCAATAAGCAGGTTCATTATTTCTTGCCATAAATTACAACCATGTTGGATGTTTATTTTGAAGTTATTGATTATCATATTTGCGGAAGTAAGGTCCCTTCAGAATTGCAAAGGATCAATGATTGTTTGATTATTTGACTAGTAAATTTCAATGCATTTGATTTCATGAAATAGGATAGTTCGCTGGATAATCTGTCAGAAATTTTTGATTGGATATTCTGGGTCAACCGCCGCTCCGATTGCCGGACGAAAATTAAGAATGGATCTGCCCATGCTATCAGGTTCATATTATTTCTTGCCATAAATTACAATCATGTTGGATGTTTATTTTGAAGTTGTTGTCTTGTTGATAATCATATTTGCGGAAGTCGGGTCCCCTCAGAATTGCAAATGATCAAAGATTGTTTGATTATTTGACTGGTAAATTTCAATGCATTTGATTTCATGAAATAGGATAATCTGGAGGATAATTTGCTAGAAATTTTTCGTCGAATATTCTGGGTCAACCGTCGCTCTGACTGCCGGATTGACCACAACATAAAACCATAGGAAAGCAGTTGGAAAAATTCCCGTCGGAAATGAGCTGCCGGTTCTCGTTTCCTACGCAGCTATTACCGGCGGAAAAATATCCACCAGAAAGTCGCCGGAAAAATCCACCAATAATGAGCAATTTTTCTATATTTATCACCTTTTTGAAATTATTACTAACTATAGCTTCGAGGTGTCTCATTCTACCTAGCATAATGCAAACTAATGAACCTAACTTTCTTTTAGTAATTTATTTTAATTCTTTTGAGGGGATTATTACCATTATCATTAAAAATAATTAAAAATGAATAAAAAGGTTTAACCACATCTATTTCTCCTCTAAGTGCTGTAGGAAGTAAATGGAAATGCGGATAACTTTATTAGCATATGCCTTCCTTAAAACTATCTCATACAGCTATGGAGGGATTAGAGCTTCTTCCTTAAGACCTTCGCATTATTAGTAGAAGCTACATGTTTTTTATGACCTGAGGAATAGCTTGCTAAGCAATTTCCCTCTTCATGTTTCTAAATAAAAAGAGCTAGCATGTGAGTTTATCCCTTTATTAATGGGTTCAGTGGGGAGTGTAACTTGCACAACTTCTATATTATTGTGCTATGACAGAAGCAAGAAAAGAGACTTAGAAGCAATCTTGGGAGCAACAATGGCGAAGAAATCCGCATGGAAGAGACGCTTATTACTCCAAGGACAAAAACACAATCTCAACATTTGAGACTTGCATTTCCAGCTTATTGTTTTCATTTATTTAGATTTTGTTTGGAATAGCTTTCTTACTATTTCTTAAAGCAACTTTATAATACAAAAATTTAAAAATTTATACTAAAACATTGCTTTAAGAAGCAGTAAGAAAGCAATCCCCAACAAGTCTTAATCTGATTCGTTTTAATAATTGTTCTACAAATGTTATATTTTTGACAATAGGAAGTCTGCATTTTCAAGTGGATCTTATTTTCACAATTTGTATTGTCAAGTTGATCTTATTTTTCATTCGTGAAATACATTCCATTGTTAAAATACTACCAACAGTTCATATACACTTTAATTGACTACCCATGAATTTAAGGGACGCCTAATTATGATGCATCTATACATTTCATGCAATGGACATAAGCTGCCTGACTTCATACTACACAGGTGTGCAAAAACAAGTTACCATAACGAACATCCAAGGACTTTCATTGGAGAAACCAAGTATGCACTAGAAATAGTCATGTTCAAAATTTAAAAAAAAATGCAACACTAACGGGAGAACTTGCCCCTTAATGAACTAGGACAACACAAAATAATGAAAACAGTCGCTTCATTTGGGACGGCTTTTTTACTACTTCTTGAAGCAGCTTTTTAGTACAAAAATTAAATTTTTTATGCCAAAAAGTTGCTTCAAGAAGCAATAAAAAGCCAGTCCCAAACGAAGCAAAAATCTCTTCATCAAGAGCAGAAGCAACTTTGTCCAGTTAGTTGATATCAGCCTTATGAACCCTTTCTCCATTTGTATATCTCCATTGTGGCATGAGGCTTTAACTCTAACATTAATCTTTCTATATATAACTTATTTTCTTCCCAGTTGTCTTATTAGTGCATCTTCTACCATTGGTTGTGAAAGAGGAAGCAAAAATAGAATTTTAACAGGAATGTTCCTCATTAAGGTGAGGTAAATTGTAAAACCCAGTGGGAATAATTAAGGCTTCGTTTGGTTATCCGGTATTTTTGAAAATTGTAGTTTTAAGAAATACCGGTTTAGAGAAAAGAGTTTCTTAAACGGAGAAGCATATATAAAAAGCTTTCTTAAAACAGCAGAAAAATGAATAAAAAAGTGTTATTGAGAATGTGGTTTGAAGAACCAAACAGTAAATTTACAATTTTAAAAAGGAATAAGCACAAAAAAAGTCCAATCAAACTAGGCCTAATGCTAGTGCCATTTGAATTAATTGTCACAGTTTCCTTCTCAAATTGTGGCATGTGGCATCATAAGAGGAGTTATGCATGGAACCTTTTTTTTTTTTCATAATAAAACTTCATTTTCAAAACACAGAAATGCAGTTTTACCATTCAACTACATCACAAACCTATACGTATACAGGCAATTCAAGTATTTCTTCAAAGTACAATCAACCAGACACACACTCCAATGTAATTCCAATGCCATAAGAAGTTGATCTCTCCACATTTCGTATAAACACATATAATATATATCACACAAGGCAATGTTGAGTGTGTAAAACAAACTTATTCAAGTAGAGCATCAAATATACCCCTGCTTCAATTCAAGCAAAAATTAATTCAGACAGTGGGTTTGCGTTGGAAACCTTGGCCAGGGTCTTCGTTCCAGGGAAAGGAAGCAATGCCGGTGACGACGGAGGACGGAGGTCCGACCCTGCAGCGCCTCTCGACCATATCCTGCACGGCGTCTGGATCACCGGAAAACACGGCCTCAACGGAGCCGTTCCTACGGTTACGGACCCAACCGTGTAGGCCGAGCTCCCTTGCGTTCTCCACCGTCCAGTCTCTGAAAAACACGCCCTGCACCCTTCCTTTTATCTCTACCCGCACCTGCGAGCACAAATAAGAAGCTCTCAAGGTGTTCGATGAAATGCCAAGGATGAATCGTAAGTAAAGAAGGACAAGGACTCAAGACGCGTACAGTTTTGGACGGCGGCAATGATGCGGAGTTGGGGGATGCGGCGGCAGACATGGAGTGGCCGGAGTGAACGGATGCGCCGGCGGCGAACTTGAGGCGAAACAGAGCGGTGGGAGCAGAACGGGTGAACATTAGCGTGTGAGATCAAAGCCAGTGGGCACCGTTCTTTGTTATAGGGTGATGCGAGTAAAAATTTAAATAGAGCTTTGATTAATTACTAATTAAGATATTTTGAATTTAAAAATTATATTTAATGATATGTGCATGAATTTATTTTAATTAAATATTAAAAAAATAAAAATTAATGTTTTTAAAATAAAGTACATTATATATATTTCTATTAAATAATTAATTTTATTCTCTCTCTATATATATATATATATTAATTTTTAAAATGTAAGAAAATTTGAATATGATTATGCAGGATTTAATCATGAGGAAAAGCCTTAGGTCTATAAGAAAATTTGGTCATTTAAATGTTTAATTTTTAAAATTATGTTCAGATTTATTTATTTAGTTAACCAATGGATGAAAATTAGTTTTAATAGAATAATTATTAAGAGGTCGTTTGTGATCAATTGCCTTTTTTTTTGGAGAATTAGGACATAATGAATCCTTAAATCTAATTGATCTCCAAACAGTGAATTATGTTCAGCATCTGCACAAATAAATCTCTCAAAAAAAATGGACTTCATCTAACGCATTCTAAAGTTCCATCGCTTGTAGGATTGGGAGATCAGTAAAAATAGTCTCAACCAAGTAAAATCTTTAAGATTATGAGATGATAACATAAAATAAAATACATGCCACGTGTCACTATACGTGCATGTGAAGAAATTACAATTCATGTGAACATTTTGCAAAACTTAACCCATCCATCCGAATATTATGAATTCCACCAATAAAAAAAAAAAATCATATATGGCTTAGAGATCATAATAAAGCTTAAATTCACTTACCGCTCATAAGCATAACAGCAGCTATATTAGAAATTAAAAACAGCAACCACTATAATAAACCAATCAAACCTCCTTCAATGAAAAAAAAAAAAAACAGTAGTAATTATGTGCCACACGACAAAGTTAATGAAATCTATTTGATTTTAGAAGCAATCATTACATATTCTACATTAGCAATACCACAATTTTAAGGAAGAACATGGACTAAGGCTTCGGTTGGGACAGCTTTCTTATCGGTTCTTAAAGCAGCTTTTTAATAAAAAATTAAAATTTATGTACTAAAAAGCTGCTTTAAGAAGCAATAAAAAAGTTATCCCAAACGAAGCCTAAAACTCGCATCATAACTAGGGCTCTCCAGATTCGCGTTTTGGAGCATCTTTGATTTCCTCCCCCGCATCCTCCTACGTTGAAGGAAACATTTGGTTGTGAGGAGGATAACACATTTGGCTGAGTAACAATCAGTATGAAAAAAAAAAAAGGTTAAGTAAGAAACAAATTACATTTATATCAGAGGTCCACAATGTCAAGTTGTCTCTGAGGAGCTGCATGATCAATGTGCTGTCCTTGTAGGACTCCTCACCCAAAGTGTCCAGCTCCGAGATAGCCTCATCAAAGGCCTTTTCAAACAGAGAAAATAAATTCCAACAAAAATGTCAAAGCCAAAATGATCTAAAGCTTCATAGTCTTTGCCCAATAAGAGAGAAAAAACCAACAATCCAAAGAGGCACCACTGTATGCAGCAACCCTACCTTGGAATTGCTTCACCAATATTTTCTTCTAGTAGAACACTTTAGTTTTAAGAGATCTTCTACTTCTAAAAAATAGCAACTTTGAATAAAATGGTAACATTTGTTTCTCCATTGCTATTGAAGTCTTTTATTCCGACAGCAATTTGTTCTAAAGATATCTAAAATATTAGCAATTTTATGTAGGCAATTCTAAGATTATTTTAAAACTTCCAAGTAGTAAACAGCTAAGGGTATGATCTACAAAGAAATATTTCATGCAACCTACTTGATGTGTTTTTGAAGGACCGGTCCAATCTGGACCAGCATTTGTCTAAAGGAGGTGAAAGGATTCTGCCTCCAATATGCCGCCCCCTTTAGGGGGTGGGATCCAGCAATAAATCAAGGCTTTAATGAGGAATTAAAGAGAACATTAGGAGGAAAATTTAAATTAGAAGGGCTCTTTGGGTAGTTTACTGAAGGAATTGTATGTTACTATATTTAAACATGTTGGGAGGCTAGGGTTAGGGTTTTTATCTCGAATTTTGGCTGAAAAATAGAAGGTTCTTGTGTCTTGAGTGGGCTCTAGCAGCGTCTATAGATTTGGGAAAGTAAAATCTTCCTCTCCAATAAAAGATTCATTGTATCTTACTGATTTTCTTCAACTAATTTCAATCAAAAGTGCAATTTCTGGTTTTCTCCATCCGAGTTCTTTGTAATTCCTGTTTTCCCAATTGCTGAAATTAAATTTCAGCAAGTAACTTTTCTGGTTTTCTACAAGGGATTCCTATCAGTTTTCAAAAACATCAAAATTGAAATTATGTTTTCTTTATGGTTACTCTCGATTAATTAGTTTTTTGCATGCATACCTTCACTTATAAAAAGAAGTTCACAAATGTTTGAAGTCTGCAAAACAAATTTTTACTTGCATTGCATTATTGCAAAATTAAAGCATTATTTTCTCTTCTTTTATATAATCATTCTTTCATAAAAAAGAACACAATTGCTTTGTGCATTTGTAAGACTAAAAAGGCTCTGTATAAAAAAATATATATCAAAGATATCTTGGGACTAAGTCGTCCATTGTGGATCTCCACCTCACCTAGATGCTCTTTTAGTCAAACATTATTCAAATCATCAAATATATTTTTTTTCCACCCTTGACATTTGTTGACCTCTATGCATTATCCAAAAGACAAAAAAAAATTCACACACCCGTTATGCAATGCCGGCTGTCCACACCTGTAAACCATCGGATCCTCAAATCCAGCCGAAACCGTGCAGAAATCCCGCACCTCGGACTGTCGAACCCTCAAATTCGCAAGAAATCCCGTCGAGGCACTGTAGATTCGGCGCTGTTCCGGGAATTGCTCGCCTCGATCGCGCTCCCATGGACGTCGTTAAATACCGCGACCAAACTCCTCTCTACGCTGCTTCTCTCGACTCTTCCTCCCCCGATCCCACGACAGAAGCTTCGATCTCCCCACTGCTCTCTCCCGACCCCATCCCACTCTCTGCTTCCCGAATACCTCCCGACCTCCTGCTCCATCCCGTCCGACTCCAACAACACGCAACTCCTGCGGGTTCGTCCGATCCAGAGGAGCCGAGAGAGAGAGAGAAAGAGGGAGAGATCATTCTCCTTACCTGTGCAACCCGACACCCCATTCCGTCACCTTCTCCACTGCCGACGCCTCAAGCCCTAGCCGAACCCCTGGCCCTCCGACTCCGCTCCATCTACGACTTTCCCTACCTGTTCGGATCGGAAGTAACCGCAGGAGCTCGCTAGCTTGAAGGTAACCATCTCCCTCTCATGCGTTTCTCGGCCAAATCCCGTGAAATAGAGAAAAAAAAGGGGGAATGAGGTTAAAACATTTTAATTAACTTTAATTAATAATAATAGTTATTTAATCATAATTTTTTATTAGTTATTTAATTATGATTAATTAATAGTTAATTATTAGTTATAATTATTTAATTAAATATAATTAATTTCGATTAATTATAGTTAATTATTAAATAATTATAAATATAATTAATCTATTAATTGTAATTAATTAATAATTAGTAATTAATTGATAATTTTAATTACTTAATTATTATTATAATTAATGTTAATTATAAAAGATATATGACATAGCACATATGGTGGTACGTGTCCTCTAACCGGCAGTTTCGCCGCTAAATGGCACTGCAGGTAAACGGTTATGACCCGGGGCCCTCTGAACCGAGTGGTTTTGCCGCCAAATGGCACCACAGATAGCGGTTATGGCCAGAGCCAATACGCTCCTTAATGGCGTTAAATCCTTGAGATATGAATCAATAGGATATGATCGATAGGGCACAAAGCCCTCTGTTAGCTAAGGTGGATTTAAATTTGTCCCCTTAGACAAACATTCAACCCCGGTCTACAAGGTCCCCTTGAACGAAGCAACCCATGGCTGCCGACAAGGATCCTTCTGTCAGGTTGGGTCGACTACCTCCTCTGACTAAGTAGACCAGGGACCACGATGGCCCGGGAGGACGGAACCATGGGATCTTGATTCGGGCCCATCATCCATTCCCCCACCATCCGCTTTAAGTAAAAGATGATGAAATTTCTACTTTAAATATAAAATCTTCAAATCCCCAACAACTTTCCAAAATTCTCAAATTCTTCAACCATTCCATACTTATGCTGCTACTATATGCCAGATAACACGTATTCTATACGTATCTGATTGACGACTAGCCTTAATCGAAAGTTCTCTCTCGTGATCGGGAGGGGTAATTAACTATAGCGCCTATAGGAAACCAGAACTCAGATCATAAAGTCCTCGCAAAATGAGGGCGAAATCTCTGGGTAGTGTCTTATCTACAAACCCATCTGCCTTCCAAAATTTACCTCGGAACTTAGTTCGTTAAAACTCCCTCGCCGAATAAGAAAAGCGAGTGGAGGCCGGGGCCGAATTTTCGGAGCCCACAACATTTTTATTTTTATTTTTAAACAGTTCACTATGCAATGTGTTTGCAATCATGCATGCCCACACATCATTAAATAACCCTTACATTAACCTGGAATTTGAAACTTCAACATTTAATAGCATACACAAGGTTAATAATTAATTATTTTGTCTCAGACAAGTAAGTGCTTCATTTGATTAGCATGATAAGGATAACTATCAAAGAACTGCTAGTTTTGTTGAACTAGAATTGATAAGAAAAAAAATAAATAAATTGGAACTGCTTATGGGAAAAAGAGAGCCTTGGGCGAAAAACTCTAACAAGTGCAGAGTTGAATTTTTTTTTTTAATTTAAATATTGCATAAGACAATCAAAATCTTATTAACCATAGGATGGTCAACTTACCTAGTAGGAGATTTCCTTCAACTTTTGACAAAAGGAGATAGGGAGAATTATATCTTAGTATGAATCATCACTCATGAAATTAATGATAGATTCAATTATATAAATGACAAATTCAACAATCTTGAAATATTACAAAAATAAATCTTGTTAAGCCAACAATAAGGTCAAACACCTACACCTAATTTTGAGAGTGACCAAGAAACTCTCACCAAACACACAGATGTAAGCCTCCAATTTATTTGAATAATCCCTAGCACCCCTTCTAACTTGGCTACCCATATTAATGAGCCTTTTACAATAACAACATCAAGCCTTTATCTCACTATGTGGGCATATTAATGAGCCTTTTGTTGCATATTTTTCCATTGAGAGTCAAACACCCATTGCACTCTCGGAGAATTTGAGCGGGTTATATATACAGTCCTCTAGTAAGCTCGCCAATGTCCTATTAAGCATAAGATGCACATAATATAGTCAATCCAAACTTTCTGATTGATTGCCTAATTTATTGCTTGATAAAACTTTTTTGAAAAAGGCGTATGCACCTAGGGGTGTAAGCTAGCCAAGTTGGTTTACAAGCCGGCTCAAGCTCGACTCATTAAGCTCACAAGTTGAGTTTATCAAGCCACGAGTTTGAGCTTGAACCCATACTTGAGCTCATATATTAAATGACCTCGAGCTCAGTCTAGCTCGGCTCATAAGCTCATTGAGCCGCATGATTAACTTAAAATCATTTAAAAATTAATTTAAATTAGCATAATATAATACATTTTAACATTTTAAAATTAATTATATTTTAAAATAAAAATTCTAAAAATAAAATAAAATTTTAATTTAAAACTAAAAAATTGAGTCCAGCACAAGCTTTCAAATGAGCTCGAGCCGATAAATTTTTAACGACCCAAGTTCGGGTTCAAGTTCAATAAGAAATAAACAAGCTTATCTCGATTAGTAGATACTCGACTCAACTCGATTTGTTCACACCGCTAGATGCACCATCACATTATGATATGCAAATATATGTTATAGCTTCAAATCCCCAACATGACTTTTTTAACCAATTTGACATACTCGATAAGATATCTCTCCTTCAGATGCCTAAAAAATCAATACCACTTCAAATACAGTACAGATACTTGATTAAGCATCATAAGCTATACTATGACATTGATGGTTTGTTCTTTATATCACCTAATTTGATCAACGTGACTCATCATTCATTTTATGATAAAATATTTTCATGTGCACATGATATACATAATTATTATTCACATGGGATACAATGAGTTAATATAACAAGTGATAATTTTCAAGATAATTCACATGGAGAATATAATAATAATGATTATGGTTTGACGTACACTCGATTCTCTAGCACTATGAATCCACCTAATACTACATAATAAGTATGACCCTTAGCCCTAATATTGATTTTTTTTTTTTTGCCTCATGACATGTTATTTTTTTTTTTTTTTTTTCATTATAAATGCTATCATTCCCATCCAATGGGATTATCAAATATTGCAAGTCCATTGCTACAACTATTGTCATTATCAGTGATCTCAATAGCTATGTATATTGTATCACAGGATGACTCAAAGATATATATACTTCACCACTTGTTACACATGAAATATTGACACTCTTACTTTACAACACTTCTAACTTTGCGAATCAAGCAGAGTTTAACAGGTGGACAAGGGTTGATGCAAACAATCATATGAAGATCCAAGAAAGCCCATTACTAGATCAACTACAAAAGCACATCATCAAAATCCAATAAATTATAGCTTTTAACTTTTAAGTTCTCTCCTGTAATTTTCATGTTTTTCATCTACAAAGGGGTTGAAGGAATATTTTTAATATAAAATCTTCCTTTGAAGGCTATTCAATTACTTTAAATTGAGGACCCCTCTTTGCAATCAAAGACTTGGGGAATTTCTCATGATTGGTATCGTTTTCGCTAGTTTTCAAATAGGGTCCTTGGGCAAGGCGCCAATTCTAGATTTGGAGGAGCTAATGGAAGGAATTTTGGGGCATTTCTTTGTGTTCTCCTCATTTTCTACAATAAAGTCTTTTTTATATTTACATTGCTTCAATTAAAAATAACTTTGATCTCTTGCAAAAAACTTGTGTCTACAGTGCTGAGTTGGTGTTGCCAGCTTTTAGATTGATATGCAAAACAACCATACTTAAGGTTTGTTAAGGCTAACCTATCTCTTTCCCTCTCTAAACTTGTTCTCCTGCATCCCAACACCTTTCAAAAGCCTTAAACAACTTCAAAGCTCATAAAAATCAAGTCATACAACTTCCTCAGTTTGTCCACCTATTGTGATTATTATACATACAAAATTCATAACTTTTTATCCACATTTCTAATTGATCTAAAATCATATTCATTTGATCTAAAGATCCTCACCTATTCTATCAAAGAAATGTTGACCATCAGTTATAAAAATTTTCAGTCAAAAATCTATTTCAAAATCCTATAACTATTCAGTACCTTCCTTAGCCTTCAATCAATCATAAACCTTCCATCACCACTCCAGCAACATTTGAAACCTATTAATAACATGCCCATCATTCATATTACACAAACTCTTCATTATTGAAATAATATGGTAAAACAGCAGCATCTGCCTATAAAACAAAGTCACATGAGGCAACTAGATGAGACTTCCAAGCAACAGCCTAATAATAATATCACTCGAGTCATTTAGCAATCCATAGCATTCGCCCTATACTAGCATGATGACTAAACAATGGCTGCTCATTGCCATAAAAAAGAATTATCCTTCAACATCAATAGATAACTTCAATGAGATCATTGACATAATAATCACCCTGAAGATCTTCGAAGGGTTTCCAAAGAAAGTTATAGCATGTCTTTATATGCATATAGACCACAAAATCTTCAAAATAAACACATTCTATGTAGGAAATCATTTCCTGCAACTCAAAACTGGTTAAGCGTCAAAATTAAGTAATTCCAAAGTCCAAACGCCTACACCCTCCAGAACTGTTCCAGAGCAAACCCACCATCCTCTATCAATTAACCTTGAACCATCTTCCCTTAATAATTTGAAACATTTACTGCACTAATAAAGAACAGAAACGAACTTATTCTATCTTACATTATTTGAATTCAAATACAAAGCAAACAAAATAGTGCTTCAAACTAAGCACCATATAACCATAAAAGTAAATGCCTGAATTAATGTAGGATGAAAACTGACAAAAATTTTACAACAGTATACTAAATGTTTAGAACAATTCATTAAGCAACCAACAATAAACCTACCTCGGACCTACAAATTCTTAAATATCGACAATGAACATGCCACATGAATGGAATTCATATTTTCATACAAGATGTTAAGTTGCCTTTTTACCACGAGTTTCATTTAAGGAAAAAAAGCATAAACATAACACCGCATATAGCCCTTGTCCAACCAAAAAGTCACACGTACAAAAACAGTTGAAAAAAAAAAAAAACAGCTACATAAAAACACAAAGGGTAAAAGGTTCCATGAAGAGGCATGGACAAGCATGACCTCAACCAGAGGACAACTACGACTGAGGCAAACACTTTAAAGACAAACAATAAAACTCGGCTGAAGAGCTAGGATGAAATGCGAGAATTTTTTTTCCACAAGCATGCCTATATAATGAAGGCTGCCTAGCTATCAACCAACATATGGATGGATGTCTTTAAGGAGACGGTAGTCATGGGGACCTTCTAGAACACCAGAGTAGCGAAGGAAGCTAGTAATAAGTTTTTTTTTTTTAATGGAAAAAACTTTCAAGCATAAATAAGACATTTAATATGCCAAAGGGAACTCAAACAAAAAGGGACTCATTCATAATGGCATTCACGAAAGACAGCAGGCAACATAGTGTTGACGAGAACTAAGCTATGCAGCGATAAAAAATTCATTCTCCTTGCTACCGAAGACAGAAATTTAATGTGTTTAGTTTAGTGGAAACTGACAAGGAATACTTTTCAACAAACAAAACATAAACATAAACATTCTTGAATCCCCTTCATTTGCAATAGTTTACATCAACTTTTCTTCAAACCAAACCAAACAACCAATTGATAAACATTAAACTTTTTTGACCCAATTCTTGCATAACATGGTAAGTCACTTGTGCTATCAAACAGAAAGTATTCTAAAGATGATAATTAAGAACTCATTCAAATAGAAGTTGCACAAATACTCAAGATGATAATTACGAACTCATTCAAGAAAAGTAATATGGAATGCTAAAACACACCTGCTTTGCAAGATTGCAAGCACGATCTGGAGAGTTCAATATTTCATAATAGAAAACTGAGAAGTTCAAGGCCAACCCCAGTCGTATGGGATGAGTTGGGGCTAGATCGGACAATGCAATGTCCTGCAAATAATCAACAATGTATATATCAAACACATGCAAATGTTTTAAATTTTGATAAGGGGGGAGATTGAAATGAACAAAATAAATCTAAAAGCTAACACACAAGAAAATTGTTCAAATTTTATGAATAAGTTGTTAAATAGGTTAGATTCTTCTTCATACAAAACCTGATTAATACATAATGAAGTGGAGAGGATGAGGAAAAGGTCCCCACCTGAGCCGATTTATAGGCTAAAAGTGTATTCTCAGCAGCATCCTTCCTCTCTGCTCCGGTCTTAAACTCAGCTAGATACCTACGCATGAATCATTCAAGTATATTTAAAATGAGCACAAAATCTACTTCTTTATTTCTAAATATTATTGTAAATCTTAAAAACCTGTGGTAATCTCCCTTCATCTTGAGATAGAAAACCTTTGATTCAGCTGCCGTAGCAGAAGGAATGAGATGGGAGTCAAGCAGCTTTAAGATCCCATCACAGATCTTGCTAAGCTCATCCTCAATCTTGCCACGATACTCCTTGATCAAAGCCACATGATCCTCATTCCCACGACTCTCTTCTTTCTGCTCAATGGAAGAGATGATCCTCCATGAGGCACGGCGAGCACCAATCACATTCTTATATGCAACAGATAGAAGATTACGTTCTTCCACAGTTAGCTCTTCCACATCAACTGTTTTTACTACCTTCTCCATAAATTCAACCATCTCTTCATACCTCTCAGCTTGCTCAGAGAGCTTGGCCAAGTAAACATTATCCTCACGAGAAGACTCCACAGGAGACATTTTAAATTCTGCTATATGCTATGAACCACTATTGTTATCTAGCTCTGCAAAAATTCCAATATCTACTTCAAAATGTTGGCATGTATAAATATTTGCTTTACAAATCCACAAAATTATGAGGTGCAAGAAGGAAATGAAAATCATATATATATATAAAGCGTTGCACTTGTAATCCTTCAAGGTACCAAAAAAAATCAGTGACACAACAGAATAAAAGCAAAAGAACAACCCAAACGGTAAAATCAGTTTAGCCATAAATTGTAAATCAGATATCACACATCAGCAAAAGTTAGTATCAATCCACTTCAATAGGCAAGAGAAATAAGAACAGCATATCTCGGAGGGGAAAATAAAGCAAATGAGACAGAGATAGAGGGGAAGGAATCATTCTATGGCCTTCAATGGAAAATAGCAACCAGACAATATAATATGGCATAATTTTACCGTTTGTAATATTCAAAGAGATCCAATAGATGCCGAAAGATAAAAAAAAAAAAGAAATAAAAGAGTGCAAAGGGTACAAAGTATATAAAAGAGCAGTACAGGTTGAGGAAATAAAATATAACTATATTCTTTATTCGAGTGACTCAGGTCCCCCAAACCCCTATAAGAAAGTGCTCCCAAGGTCAATATCGGGCAGATCCGAATTATCAAAGCAAACTTATTCCACAACCTAGGAAATATCAATGGTACATCAAGCATTGTATCTCCCCTCTTTCAAACAAGCGAAAGAACAAATCAAACGGTAACAAAAATTATTTCACAATAAATTGTACATCAGATACTATAAATTGATAAAAAATATATCAACCTGATAAGAAAGAGATCCAGAGCAGAAGATAAATCAAGAAGAAGAGAGCAATATAGAAACACCCTACGGCTTATTGCAACAAATAACAACATGGCACAAAACTCAATGTAAACTGAATCATGACTGTGTTTCTGATCATCAAAGAAGTTTAAACAATGCCAAATAGATCTAACAATAATCACCTCGAAATAAAAAACCTCCACACAGAAAATTCAGACGCAGCCGGGGGAAAAATAGTACGATTTAACTAAAATTAAGGTTCCCTACGGCGAGGTTTGGCTGATCTGTCCCCAAGCCCTAACGATCAGAGAGATGAAACATGAGAAAAGAAAGAGGGATCGAGGAGGGAAGAGAAGCCCTACCTTCTTCACGGCAATCTGGATTTCCTCTCCAACTGGTAATTCCTCTGGCGAAAAGAAAGATTGAAGGTTTTCCTCACGGAGACTCTTTAGGATCGCTCCGCGTCCGGCCCGCCAGCTAAGCGGCCATCAAACGACAGGTGGTCAGAACGACCCTTATCAAGCGGCGGCTGACACGCGTCCGCGTCCCCTGCGCTGGCGGATGCGGATCCCACGCGCTCAATCTGCTTTCCTTTATTTTCGCTACTGTATTAAAATGGGTAGATCGTATCGGGTCGGATTCCGGATTTATATTTTAGGTGCTGCGTTTAATGGTTGAAAATTAATGGTTGTTAGTTGTTGGTTTGTTTTGTATGATTGGAAGCAAAAGTGGGAAGAAATTTTGTGTGGCCTTATATTATTAAAGATAATGTTATGATGATCAACTAGAACATTTGAAGTTTATGGGTAGGCAACTTTTTAAAAATATATATCAACTTGTTGTAATTTGGAGATGAAATATATATATATATTTTTAGAAATAATGTGTGATAAATCATGGAGTATGTGGCATTAACTCATGACGTTGAAGAAATGAGTTTGTCTTTTAACCAATAAGTCGTGAGTCATTTTACAAGAAGTTGCGTCTTTAGGCTTTGTTTAGGATGGTTTTCTTGTTGCTTTCTAAAGCAACTTCCTAGTACAAAAATTCTAGTTCAAAAATTTTTTGTATTAAAAAGTTGTTTTATAAAGCAATAAGAAAGCTGTCATAAACGAAGTCTTAGTGGACGATTTTGGCGGATGTACTAGTCAATTTTTATGTATTCAGTTAGCTTAATTATGACCCTTTATGTGACAAGGATGAGATGTTAGTATAGTAGGGATCTCAATATTCTTAAGATGTCCATTCTTGTTGTTGAAATATTCTTTCTTGTTTTAGAGAAGTTATTTGTCGAGAACCCTCTTCTAACTTTGATAATTGCTCTCAATTTTAACAGACTATGTTAACCTTGACAAAATTTGATGTAGGAACATCCTAGTTTTAGCACACCTTAGGGCATCTTCAACCGAAACTCTCATTTTTCACTGCAAAATGCAGTAAAATCAAAAAGTGTCGTGTTTCATCTCCAGTGGAACGCCATTTTGCCCCCAAATCATGGCTCGTTTCTTTTGCGCCTTTCTCGGATGAGTTCGGTAGAGAGAAAGAAATGGCGCAAGTGAACAGTGCGACGCCAATATTGGCGTGGCACTGTTCAACTGCGATCAAATGGCGGAAGAAATGGCGTTCGGTTGCGACGTTTGAGGGCCTCCATTCGACTGTTTGTCGAACGGTTGGAGATGATCGTATGAATAGTTTATCCTTTGTTAGCTTAGGTATACGTTTTCTAGAATCTTCTATTATGTTTATATATACAAGACATTGTAGAAAGGAGGAGATTATTGTTGAATATTAATCTTTTTTGAAGCTTTAAGCTTGTGTTTGGTCCCTGAATTAGGTATTCTTCTAGCAAATCCAATTCTTCCGCAGATCTACTACATCATAATTCATCTTAGTCTCAGGAGGTTTCCAAATGAAAATTCCAATAAGATGGCTACCACATTGATAATTTCTTTAAATGCCACCATCATATCTCTTTGAACAAATCATACCTAGCCACATATAAAGTTCCTCATAACTATCTCATGATGAATGAAATCTCATAATAAAAACTACTGCGGCTCTAAAATTATTAATAACATTAATTAATGGTGCATACGCATCTTATTCAACTCAAACATGGACCAACTAATCTTCACAACTCATTACGTCGGGTATATTGTTTTGAACTTACAAGATTTAAGCTATCACAATATTAACCGTCATTAAGGACAACACTCTCCTTATAAAACCCTTTGAAAGAGCTATAGGAAGACATATGTCAAGTGAGCTAAATTCACGACGTAAAATTATAGTTTCAAAAATATTAGAGCATGCAATCACTCGCTAGACATCAATGTGGATCACCTATCAAGACATGAACCAAATAAATTCTCTTAAATTGTAAATTTGTCTATCCTTAAAACTTGTGCATTGATTAGAGCTAAAATTGATAAAAATTTTCATTTCAAAATTTTGAAATTAACTGTAGAGGCTCAATTAGGCTCGGAATTGCCAAAATTAAGTCAAAAATATTAACAAAATAACGAAATATTTGTTTTAAGCTCAAAATCAAATACAAACTAGGTTGGAATGAGTGTGAGTCTGAACGCATGTCAGTGCAACTATGCATGTAGGCATGCATTCATTTATAAGAATACATATATACTTAAATAAAAGGTAAAAAATATGTTAAACTACCAAAGGACCTCGGCTCAAGTGGCAGTGGCATTTATTAGGCAAACACAAGGTGACAACATTAGCTTTTAGGATTGGTTTTTCTTTGAAATTGTTTCTCCTCATGTAGGTTTAGTGATTTGAAGAAAAGAAAAAAAAAAAATGTAGGTTTAGTGATTTACCCACCTATGCTTAGCTCGGTTGGTGGGCATGCTCGGTTGGGAACCTCCCATCCCGAGTTCGATTCCCACAAGTGGCAGTCGACTCTTAAGTGGAGGCTCCAAAGTGCCGGCTATGGGTTTTTGGCCTGGGTGACCCATTAGGTCGGTCGGGGTTTACGGACCGTCAAGCGTGCTCGACGAAGTCGGGTGTCGCAGCGGACGGTTCCTCGTCATAAAAAATAAAAAAAAATTAGTGATTGCATTTATTGAGGCTTTTTAATGCAATATGGTCCAACATGATTGGATTTTTCTCTATCGTTGTTTCTCGATTCTGCATGAGTCAGAAACTGTTTTTCATTGTGGGGTTTTAGTGCAATCTCCTACTTATTGAACTATGGGCTTAAATCAAATTAGTTTTTTTTTTAATTAGTTTAAAATATACTAATTCTTTCATTTGTTAGCTTCAATCCTATTATAATCATTATTGTGCATGTTGTTTCTTAAGAAAACTTGTTGATATTAATTGCAACATAATTTGAGCTCAAAACGACTTTAACACAAATGAGTCAAGTTTGAGCTTAAGTTTTGAGATCGAGTCGAGCTCAAGCCCTATATAACTTAGAGAAGTTGACCTCGGGCTCAACTCATCTCATTTGCAGCTTTAGCATAACGTGTTCAAAATTTTAGATCTCCATTAATTTTTTTGCATTGGATGCATTTTATGAGATATAATCAGATGACTCATGCTACTATTGAATTTGGTGGAAATGGTGCTTTTGGAATTTTTTATTGCCCTTATTTTCTTCGTTAGAGAGGTTGATAATTTTTTTAGTATGTGTTTTTTCCTTAATTTAAAGATTATACAAACTATTTTTGATGGGTGTTGATAGCCTTATCAATGATTATTTATATTATTACTTGATGAATAAATAATACAAACACTAGTACGGGATCTCATTAAAGCTTCGTTTGGGACGGCTTTTTTATTGCTTTCTAAAACGGAGTTTTAGTACAAAAATAAAAAAATTTGTACTAAAACTCCATTTTAGAAAGCAATAAAAAAGTCGTCCCAAACGAAGCCTAAAACTCCGCATTTATGCGTGCTTGGACGAGAGTAGTACTAGGATGGATGATCTCCAGCGAAGTTCTCATATTGCACCCCTTTTAAAATGCAGATAAAATTAGAGAGAGTCGCCTTAGATGATTTGGTCACATAAAATGTTGGTCTTCTAATAACCCCGTTAGGAGAGTATATGTATTTGATTTAAGCTATGTTAAGAGAAGAAGAGTTAGACATAAAAATACTTGGTTAGAAAAGATTTGAAATGATATTTTTTTATTATATTTAAATGAGAATTTGACTCATTATATGACACAATGGAGAAAAAAAGATTTATGTTGTCGACCCCATGTAGCAGAATAAATGCTTGATGTCGCTGTTATTGTACTTAGTTTATTATTCATAAAATAAATTTAAAATCTTAGATAGCTATGTGGTCATTATTATAAATTATAAAAGTTAAAAGAATAATTCTTTCAAATTTATTTATGGGGCATGACAGGTCCTATCACATAGATCAATTTTAGTTACTGCAATATGGTATTGGAGAGGTGCTACATGGGCAACATCAGATTTCTCACACTAACTTATTATTGATTTTGTTGTGGGAGAACTCTATTATATTATAATGGTGCTATTTGTTGTTTAATCTCCTATAAGAGTCGAAAGATTTGAGCTTTATACTCCATCATATGCATATGATTCTCTAAAGTGAGACATAGGTAGCTTTTACTAATCGGATTTTGTTCTTCTTGATTGAGAAATTAATTGCCAGTTTTTAAAAAGATGTTTGTAAAATATTATAAACAGACGATGTCAAACTATTATATTATAGAAATTTCTTTATGATAAAAAGATAATTTTAAGTCATAGATTTGCATATAAAACTTGACTTACATAGGTAATAATGGAGGAACATAGTAGATACGATAGTATTTATATGAAAAATTTCATTGAAGAAAACAACAATGGGCTTGGCCAAAATAAAATGATATATTGTATAACTTAAAATACATATTTTTGCTTTTCCTCTTCAATAAGATTACAACGTGATTGTTTGTGTACTAGATATTCGTACAACATTGAGACAGAAGTATTTTAACTCTATCGTCGGATGACGCCAAACTGTTTGTGTACAAGATATTCGTACAACGCTGAGACGGAAGTGTTTTAACTCTATCGCTGCGTATATTCTAGTCCGCAACAATGATGAACTTAAATTTGATCTCATGCAATTATATGATAAGCTTGCCAGAGAAGTAATAGAGGGATAAAGATGGATATTGTATATAGTTAGTTCAGTGATAAAGATTGGACTAGGACAATAAAAAATTAGTGGTCAAATTATAGTGATTAGACAATGGCGGCTAGACAATGCTAATTAGATGACAACAATCAGACGACGATGATTGGACAATGGCGGATGGCAAATGAAAGGTAGGCAATAGTAGTTAGATAATACTACTCTTGCGATGGTAGTTATATGATTGTAATGGTCATAAGTATCTTAGTGATATTCGAATTGAGGGATGTTGGGTACTTCAAATTCTTCTCATCGAAACGTGTATTTGGACTCTAAGCAATGAAAAATCAAAGATCATTTAGTCCATCATTTAATATCTAGAAATTTCTAACAATACCTTAAATGCTTAGTTTGAACTTATTTGGATTCAGATCATTTCTCTTTTAGTGTTGTTGGTTTTGTCTGAGATATTCAATTTAACTAAGTTGAAATTGCAATCTTAACCGCTTTGAATTTAAATTTAAAAATTTTCAATATAATATTGCATTATAAATGGTGTGTAGATAAGTAAAATATTTTTATCATGTATCATAGATAAATATAAAAATTTAAATATTAGGTATATAAATATATAAAATTTTCGTGATGGATATATACATTAAATTTTTTCTGAGTATAATATTTCTTTAAAAATGCTGCATATGCCAACTTTTGCTAATCAAAAGATCGAAGGATGATAGCCACTTGAGTATTAATTAATCACCCGCTATTATGACGGCATTCTTCACCAGGCAATTTGACTCCATTGAATCTTTTTGGCTTTTTTTTTTGTTTTTGTTTTTGGGGCGCATTATCCCTTATTTATTTACCTCTTCGGTTTTTAGCTTTTGCCTCACCGGACGCGTCGCGACCGATTTTAGGTATCAGTCAGCAAAGGCCATCCATCCGTCTTTCCTCTGTTTCTCCTTTTCTTGAACCCCGTTGGTGACGGAAATCCAGATCGAGGAGAAGAATACAGGGTTTGAGTATTCCTTTCCAGGTTCATCCTCTCTATTTTTGATCACTTAGATCTTTATTGGTTTTGGTGATTTATAGCTTCGATCTGTTAAACGTTGCCCCACCTTGCCCTGGGAGCTTTTGCTTGTAGGGGCGGGTCGGGGGGACTTAATTTAGTTAATTTCCATATTCGGATGCACGCGAATTTACTTTGTGGCAATTTGTTGTTATTTCGAATTGCTTATTGTTTGATCTTTTGGCATTGATTGAAGCTCTTTGAAGATTATGGCTGCGACATCTGCCCCCTGCGCCCAGCACTTCCCTCTTCGGGTATCCAGGACAAGACTCTACAGCTCCTCCTCGGATTGTTGCCCCCCTTCAGCAGGGCACAATGGATCCAGTGACGGAGCCGAGAAGACGGCTTTTGGAAGAAGGTCTGTCTTCCTCGGCCGCCGTGTTGCATTCGTAGGCGGTCGTTTCGGCCTCATCCTGCGCTTTCCTCCCAACTTCGTTCGCCAACTTAGCAATAAGGCTCGTCGGAACTGCAGCAACATCGGTGTGGCCCAGATCGTGGCGGCTTCGTGGTCTAATGACCAGCCCCCTTTTGAATCTTCGGTGTCCGCCGCCTCTTTCGCCGCTGCGGCTGTTGTTCTCCCGGAAGAGGAGGAGGTGACTGAGTCTATCAAACATGATTCTGATGTCCTGCCCTCCGAGGATGAGGCTCCGAACGCTGTCCCTACGTCTGCTGTCTCTGCTTTATTTGGCTCCGATCAGAGCCTTACTGTTCATGCCGGTGACAAACTACTTCCCTTTCGGTTGCATTTATTCGAGATAGCTTATTTTCTGAAAAATGGTCTGATCGTCAATTAAATTAAAGGGTTATATGGTTTAAGTAAAATTGGATAAATCCAAAATTTGTGTGGTCCTCTAATCTTCTCATTCAAAGATTCAGATGATTTTTCTTTTTCTGAAATATTTGTTTGTCAATTTGTTGAATTTTAAAGAATTGTTTGGCTTCTAGTTAAGGATCGAGTTGAGTTGTAATCGATTACTTATGATGAATAATAATTCATTAATTATCCCCACAATACAGATTTTTATTCTTTAATTTAAATTTTGATTAATCAACGATAAAATGATTAAATAGTTTTTACTTGCATTGAGTGATTAATTTGAATTTAATTAATGATTAAATATCTGTATATTAATTATGCATTGCGTTCACTAAAATGGATTACATTCGTTTATGCATAATTGGTTAGTTAGGATTATAAATAGGGATTAATAAAAATTAGCTTCACTGGGGATTTAGTAAGAATTATTAATTGCTGAAGTTACGGCTAAATTTGTTTTACTTACGCTAACTAGGTTAATTATTAATTGTATTAATTTGACTAGTTGGCGTTTTCTTGTGATCACTAAGTTTTAATTTACTATTATTTTTTAAAAAATTGGAATAATTAGGGACTTTTAGAAGAGTTTTATGGGATACCACTGCTATAAGGTTGGTTTAAATGCCTTTTTTGGAACTTCATCTTTAATTGTGTCTCCGCAGGTGAAAGATACGGCCGTGGCTTGGTAACGGATTCTATTACAACCCCGCTTGTTAGAACTTCCGCCTACTGGTTCAAGAACTCCGATGAGTTGATTGACTTCAAGGTCTACAATTAATATGCTAAATAATTTTCTTTTCTTAATCTTTGTTCTCATCCCCTGATTTTCTTTCTATTTAAAAATGGGTGCTTTTCTCTGCTATATGCAACTGGCTCAATTTTTGACCATTTTTTAGGAGGGAAGATATGCCAGTTATGAATACGGCCGCTATGGGAACCCTACCACAAAGTCATTGGAGGAGAAAATGAGGTGCTTGCCGATGCATTCTCTAGTTTCAGTGTTTAATTCTCATCACAGAATTATATTACTGCACAAGTACGAGAAATCATTTTTTTCTTTTTCCTTGACACTCTTTGGTTTCATTTGGTATCCACATGGTATCCACATGGCAGTGCACTAGAACGAGCAGAGTCAACCCTGTTTGTGTCATCTGGGATGTATGCGAGTGTGGCTTTGATTATGGCATTGGTTCCTGCTAAAGGGCATATTATCACTACCACTGATTGCTACCGAAAGACCAGAATGTTCATTGAGAAAGAACTTCCAAAGCTGGGTATTACGGTAATTTACATGCTTAATTGACTTGCCTTGGAGCTATCCTTTGCTTTAGCTATTTATGAAAATTTACTTTGAGTAATCTCTCTGTGTTTGAATGTCATAGCATTGTTATGCAGAATCTTGGAGAGAAATGTTCTTTTTTGTTTTTCTTTTATTAAATTCTATGAAAGTTTTCATTGGCACCTAGCCACTTCCTAGACTAGGAATTGTTTGCATGAACTGATGAACTGTTGGCTTATTTTGTGTGATAGTGTATGCTTTGTTGGTTATTTATTCACTAAACCTGACTATATGTTCTGTATTTGCTATGCATAAGATTCGTATGATTCATAACTTCTTAAATTTCAAAGTAGGGGAAGTATCAAAACAATAGATTAGTTATAGTGGAAAAAGAAGAAGACAGGCTTGGCAAATATGTCTAATTGCTTCCCTTGTATTTGTATTGTTCCCCGTCTGGGGCAAGGACATGTTTTTGGAACTGCAAGAGAGAGATCTGGGCATGCACCTATGATCTGATGAAATTTTAAGAAAAAATTTAATCTATATGCATTTTTTGGACAAAATTGCAGTGCACAAAGCTCTTCAAACATCAATAAACATATGTTTCAAAGAGTCAAGTTTAGTGAAGCATAGATGTTGGGGATGGAAGTAAACACCGCAACGAAACAAATAAGAAAATAAGAAATGCGGCGGAAAGTAAATGACACCAGGATTTAACGTGAAAAAACCTGAAATCAGAAAAAAAAAATCACGGAGCCACACCAAAACACACCACACCAAAGAATCTACTATTGTAAATTGGGAGAAATAAGTACATATCTCTCTTCTTTCTCACTCTCTCATTGCTTCTCTTCTCTCTTACACCATTCTTACACTCAAAACAAAAGAGAAAGAAAAAACTGTCCAGTTCGCCTCGTAGCGTTGTGGCGCCAATTTGGAGCGCTGCGACATTCAAATCTCTGTTATCATGATGTTGCGGCGTTAAATCTAGAGCGTTGTGACGTTCTGCTTTTTGACGTTTCTCCTAGCAAACTTTGTAATGCCAAGACGCTTTGGAATGCAACGTCGGGGGGTGCTCAGGTACACAACACCGGAGAGTTGTACGGAGAAAAAAATTTACGCATGCAAAGCACCAGAACCCAAGCAGGGGGAGGACCCCCCCAACGAGCACGACAAATTGTACTGAGGTCCGAGGCAATAGTACGACCTGATTAATCAACACAATCATATTCCACACATAACTAACAATAGATTATTTGAGGGGTTCTTAAGTATCATCAACAATTCCTGATAATTTTTTCTTCTTTGATGCTGGCAGCACTTCGATGGCTGATACAAATGGCTCGTACATGTTATGAGCTTAAATTTAAGCTATAATAAATTTAAATATAAAGCGGATCCAATGGTTTATGTTAGCATTATAATTTGACATTATAATTTGACAGATGTTTATATAAATTGATCTTGATTTATTATTTAAAATAAGATGACACTTAAATAATAAGATGACACTTGACAAAATATGGTAGTGTTCAAGTTTAAAACTTATGTTCAATTATATCTAATAGAATCATCTTCTCAAGCATCCATTTGATGACACCATCTTGTTGTTCTCATCACCGTCACATGATTTCTATAAATGTTTTGAAAATGCTTTGATCCTATGATAAAATCAAATTCAGTTCTCAAAATAACAATAGCATCAAACTCAAACTGACCCTTCATACCTTTATCATGCTTGCTAACTTGATGTCATGTTTTTACCGGATATATACATATATATGCCTTCTTGATTTCCTTCATTTTGAACCCCCAATTCCAACCTGCTTGATATGGAGGGACGGCTGTTTGACAGTTATTTGAGCTATGCTGGTTGCCATACAGAGGGATTTGAGACCTTTTATTGCCATTGTTGTGCCTCCTTTTGAAAAAAGATTAGTGGTAAGGATTTATGGCTTTTGGATGGTAGGATGATTTTATATTATTGTGTGGAATATTTTATAGATGGATGGGATATTGGGATGGTTGCAGTCGGACAAAAGGTTATGAACCCAAGGTGGCTGATAGATTATGAAGGGGAAGGAATCGTATGAATTGTAATAGAAAGAAGAGGAGTACTTTGATGCTTTGAAGTCTCATCAAATAACTTCAAGAATCACAAGGAGCTTTGGAGGCCTCACCGAAGGACTTCAATGGAGCAAGAAAAATCACCAAGCTAATCTTCACACAAGTTCTTGAACCAAGCATCAAAGCAAATTTTCTTCAATGATCCTCTTCAAGGTTGAATAGCATTAGTATTTATAAAGCATCACATAGGCTAATACCAAAGACGGACGACAATACATAAAAGAAAAGAAACTTGGATACAAAAAATAAACAAGTATTGAAAACTTCATAATGTAGTGTTTGACCATGCTTCTTCTTTTATTTTATTATTATTTTTTTTTATTTTATATGTTTGACCATGCTTCTTGTGGAAGGAGATTGACGTTATTTTCATTAAGTGCTGCTTACAAACATGGAGAGGGGCAAATCATGACTTTTATAGAATTTGAAGTGAATCTTCAATAATCACATTTTGACTTCATCATATGTGGTGGACAACCAAGCTTCTTTAGGAAAGGGAGTGATGCCGCTTAGGAGCACATCTTTTTTCATGGTGAAGAGAGGGGAAAATCTATGTTGAATGGTACTTGATTGAATGTTGTCTTAATTATTCTTCTTCATCATCACAAACTTGTAATTTGAATGAGGTGGTCGTCCATGTAAGTAAGGGATGTAAATTCAACTCTCCATTGTGTTCACATATTTGATCTTCATCATCATGTCCATGCTGGATATTTGATTATCGTGCTGTGTTAAGGGAAATTATTGAATAGCTGCAATGAGTTAGGCCATTGGTTGATTTAATCAATTTAATTCAACAAGTTATTCGGGTTAATTCATTTAACCCCCTCTGTAGTTTAATGATCCTTAATATCATTTCATGTGGCCATTTTTCCCATTGACCTTTTATCATAACATATGGGTTGAGCAAATCTTGAGTGCCGTTCATATGGTTAATAAAGGAGTTTGGTTTTGCTTTGTTAACCCATTCGCCATTGATTAGGATCTAATGTATTATGCCTAAATTGATTTCCTTATCAAACTGTCAGTTAATGTCATTCTCACCATCTGCGAATAATTTATCTCTTAAAGTTTTAACTAGTTTTGACGCTGCCTCAATAATCCCACAATCTGTGCTTATATTTATGCACCATCAAGTTACAACAAGAAGTTTCAACGTTTCATCGCTTTGATTTCAACAACCTATGTCTTATACTGAGGCATTATGTTTGATGTTTGATGTTAGATAGGCTTTTGATTGTTGCCTAATCATCATTCTTAAAACTTTTATTAGTCCTTGATCAGTCTCAGATTAAGCCCTTAATCAAGTTGGCATAGATATTTATGCAGCTTGTGTTTGAACTAATTTCAATGCTATTAGAGTAATCTGACAGCTATGATCTTTCTAACTTTTTTCTTCAATTGCTTCAATAAACTCTAATTTTCTTCATTGCCCTTGGCTTGCTCTTTTAAACCCTTTCTTTTTCTAGAGTAATCTGGCGGCTGTGATTGTTCAATCCTGATTGGTACACTTAGCTTCTATGATGCACCGACACAGCACTTAGAGAGGGTATGCAGTGTCGGACACGTGTCGGACACGGACACGCGTCGGACACTGCATGAACACGTGTCCGACACGGCATTGGAGTGTCGCAATTAAAAAAATTAAAATTAAAATCGGACACGCGTGTCCGGTTATTAAATGTGGTACCGCTCAGTACATGCTCGGTACCGCTCAGTACATGCTCGGTACCGCTCAGTACCTGCTCGGTACCGCTCAGTACCTGCTCGGTACCGCTCAATACATGCTCGGTACCGCTCAGTAGATGCTCGGTACCGCTCAGTACATGCTCGGTACCGCTCAGTACATGCTCGGTACCGCTTGGTACATGCTCGGTACTGCTAGGTACATGCGCTGCCCCTTGACCCCGCAACCTGACCGGGCAGGTCGAACCCTGCCAGGGGGCAGCACCCTCTTGGACCCCCGACAGACTGGTATATTGTTGTATTCATGTTGTCTTATTATTGGGATATTTTTATTTCACTTCATATCAATTTAATTTGGTGTTTTCTTATATATGATTGGTTTCTTAGCAAAATGAGCTCTGCTACTGGCGGGGGTGGATTAGGTGAAGGTTCAAAAGAGCTATCTGTCCACGCCGTGTCCGTGTCCTATATTTTTAAAAATTATTATATATTATATTAAAAAAAATATTATGCCGTGTCCACGCTTCATCCGTGTCCTATATTTTTTAAAATTGCCATGTCCTGCGTCGTGTCGTGTCCGTGTCGTTGTGTCCGTGTCGGTGCATCATAGCTTAGCTTACATGGAGTAACCTCATGGCTAAGATCTCATGAGCTTCATTAGCAACCCTTTTTCTATTTCTTCAGCTGTTCATTGCATTTTACCTCTCTTTCTTTTCCTTATCTTGCTCTTTTCAACTTGATTTTTGTCTGAAATAATCTAATAACGGATCTTTCGAGCTGACTGGCATCCTTAGCTTGGTGGGACTGTTCATTGTTGCTCAACACACTTAAGCTTAATATAGTTATTTTGGCCTTTTTATTTTCATTTAATAGTGAAGTTTGCTTTAGTACAACTTAGTATGCTCATTAAACTTCAAGATTTGTATCATTCGCTCTATTCTTGAACAAAAATCTTTGGATGTGATCCCAATGAAGTTTCATTTGTATAGGTGCTTCTACGAAACTTCCAAAATGCTAAAATCCTTTCCTCACTCTAACTAAGCTCACTTCTAGTGAAGACATATATGATATCACAGGTAAGTTGTTATCAATGAGTTGATATCTGGATGTCCCTACTTCAAACTACCCAAAGGGTCCAGGGAAGAGGAGGTGCTGTACAAGATAAATTTAATGGGTTGGATGGTAGAGGGTTGCCTGCGCCAAAAGCAATTATTCACTTCGGAACTGATGGAGCACTTTGGAAAGTGCTCAATGCTTGCTGGGTCTTGGCATGAAGATCCAGCTTTGCATCCTTGGTAGGCTGACTAACGAGCACAGCCTCACGATGTGATTGGTCTTGCTTTCCCACACAAGCTGACTGATCGCTTAGAACAGCTACTCTGCTATCCTATGATGCACCGACACTTCTTCTCAAAGAAGCGTGCAGTGTCCAATACGTATCTAACACGACACACGCCCGACAAGCCTCGAGCACATGTCAGGCATGCCGTAAATGTGTCTGATTAAAAAAGTATTAAATACAAATTGGACACGCGTGTTTTAAATATTTATATTTTTTTTAAATATAATTTCTTGTATTTAAAATTTTATTTATTTAAAATATAAAAATTAAATTTCTTATATCTTATCCACAACACCAAATCAATCGCCCGCACTCAATATCTCATTTACCGAATATTCTCATTTTTTCATTTCCCTTTGACGGGTCGCGACTTTGGTTTTACAATAATGCCCGATGTCATCTCAACATCGACATTTTAAAAACATCTCAACATCAAAGTCTGACACTGTCTTGACATTGATGCTTGACGCTAACAAGTTTTACATACAACTTGACAAATCATCTTTGTCTGAGGTCTTCTTAATATCGACGATCAACGCCCTCTCAACATCGACGCAAATGCTCTCTTGATATTGACTCCTGATACTTACTGCATAACATCGCTGCTTGAATTTTGACAGCATTGTTGTCTCCTTTCTCGATGCCATATGCATAGCATTGACGTCCAACTCTCGACATTCTAATATTAATCATTTTAAGCACAAATTCTAATTAAATGACTTATTATTTCTAAATTATTTTTAATATTATACTTATTCAACTTTTATACACTATTTTTAAAATATAAAAATTAAACCGTGTCCAACGCGTTTCCGTGTCCTATATTTTCAATAATTGATGTGTCCTGTGTCTGTGTCGTGTCGTATCCGCGTTGTCGTGTCCGTGCATCATAGCTGCCATCCCTTTTCCATTAACAAGCAACTAGAATAAGAGCTTTGGATGGAGACATTCCCTACATTTCACTGGGTTTTACCATTGGAACTTTCATAGATCCTTCTTAATATTAGAATGTTGAATCTGTTGGGTTTTAGGGCGCATTCTTTATATTGTTTTAATGTGAAAGGTTTTGAATCATGCTTGAAGTATTTTTCCCCCTTTCCTTCTGTTATAGTGATCTATGGATTTTTGTTTTTCTAGTACATTCATTAAAAAATTAGGCTGTACTGGTCGCATGTTCAAGTGCACTCTAAAATCTGAATCGGACCTGAATTTTACTTTATCTCTTCTTGAAATGCTTCTGAATATCTTAAAACTGCAGGTTACCATCATTGATCCTGCTGATATGAATGCATTAAAGAGTGCACTGGATCAAGAAAATGTTAGTATACGAAATGACTTTCTTTATTGTTTTTTTCTTTATCTCTTCTTGCAATGCTTCTGAATATCTTAAATGTGCATATATCTAGCAATCTGCTAATGCTCTCTCTCTCTCTCTCTCTCTCTCTCTCTCTCTCTCTCTCTCTCTCTCTCTCTCTCTCTCTCCTCTCTTTTGTTCAGGTTTCTCTTTTCTTCACAGAGTCTCCAACTAATCCTTTCCTTAGATGCGTCGACATTGAGCTAGTTTCAAAGCTTTGCCATGACAGAGGAACTCTGGTTTGCATAGATGGAACCTTTGCACCACCTGTTAATCAAAAGGCCTTAGAGTTGGGTGCTGATTTAGTTATTCATTCTGCAACAAAGTATATTGGTGGTCATAATGATGTGAGTTAATTGAATAACTCTGCGTTATTTTGTTGACTAAAATTATCATATTGAATTTAACAAAATTATTTTCTTTGAAGGTACTTGGTGGTTGCATTAGTGGTTCAGATCATCTAGTTTCCAAAATACGCCTATATCATAATGTTATTGGTGGTGTTCTTAATCCTGTAAGTCCAGAGATTGTTTTTCGTTTTGACTTATTAAATTGTGATGCAAACATTATTCTTCCTTCCTCTGCCTATTCTCTTTTCAAAATGGATGAATTACAGTTTGTTACTTTTTGTTTATCATTATAGACTGTTTCTTTAACAATTTAACCCTTCAGGATGCGGCTGCTATGTTCGTTAGAGGCATGAAAACTTTGCATCTTCGCGTACAGGAACAGAATAAAACAGCGCTGAGGATGGCCCAAGTTTTAGAGGAGCATCCCAAGGTCTGTAAAACTTTGCTTCTTTTTCTTGATATTTTTTACCTTTTTTTTAGGGAATTTCCTTGTCACGAAATCCAACATTGCTGATTGCAGAGAAAAGACGAGAAAAATAATTTCATATTTGTATACTTGTTGGTTTATCAATGCTCATGCATTAACACATTATTTTAAGTGTTCTCTCATCTATTTTATTCTTTCTTTAAATAGCTATTGGGATGCTTTTTCATTGACTTGGATTTTTTTTTTGAAGTAAATTGCATCTCTGTTTCGAAGTTATATCGAGAATATTTTCTCTAGACTTAACATCATCATCATTATTAGTCTTTATCTAACTATTTGGAGGTTCATGTATTCATTTGGTAATCATTATTCTTCAGTCATTAGTATTGAGATCTATATGAGATATTAAATCTTTTTATGACAATTATTTTTGCAGAATTTTTATTCGAATTATCTTTGGCCTATCCCTTTTTTTGGTTGAGCCCTTTATTTATCTATTCATTTTATTATTATATATTCTACCATTCATTGTGCTTGCGAGAATCACTCGAGTCTATTTTAAACTGCATTATTTTCAATAGCTATTATTTTCATCAATTGTAATTTGCAATGAGAAGGATTGTTAGAAATTTGGTAAGAAATTAGGCTACTAAGAATGGGTTGTTGCCCCATGAATGTAACTTATGGTAGAAAATGTTAAGAGAAATGCAATAAGAATTTTTTTATCCATCATAGGTTATTTATCATACCCCACGAAGTGAGATAAAAGCTGCTTTGTTGTTGTTGCTGCTGCTGCTGCTGCTGCTGCTGCATGGTTGTTTATTGTAGTATATTATTCTTTGGCTTTAATTTGTGTAGAAGATGTCAAATCAAATCCACTTCGGCCTATTGATCATTGATTGTTATGCGACAACTGCTGGGCATTTCTCAAATCAATGGTAAAAATGATGTCTTTAGATTGTTGTCGTCCTTTGGAAATTAAGACAATGGCTCTACTTAGGGAGTGGGAGTATAGTTGGGAACTATCTCTGCACCTCCCCACATTTCTTTGGTGTGTAAACTTGCTTCTTGTAAAACTGATCCATCAACAAAAAGTAGAGGGAAGGAGTTGTCGTATTGCAACCATGCCTAGGATGTTGCCACCAACCCCCCCCCCCAAAAAAAAAAAAAAGAAATCTCAACTTGCCGGCCATTGAATAGATTCAAACAAACAATTAAAATAAAAGTGCAAATCATAGGATATACAATATTTTAATGTGAAAAACTCAGAAAGAGAAAAAATCACTGAGTCCAACACACCTGAAACCATATTAGCGTGACTCGCATTTTACAAATGATGAGCTTGCTTGTAAGTAGAGAAGCTATTAACATAATATACTACATATGATATAGGGAAAATGACTTACACTATGAAAGTAGGAGCTAAGGCATGCGCCGAGTTATCATCAAGCGATGATCAGTGGTTTACTTTATTATTCTTATATAACGGAAGATGGTAGGCTAAAAAGATGGGCGTTTGTGGTAACGTTGCATTTTACTCTTGGTGGCAACGACAAGCATCAGCATTGGCGAACAAAACTTTGGAACTCTCCGACTCCCATAATTTTCTCCTTTAGATTCTTATTTGAGGCCAATAGAATTAAGACATTTATAAACGTGGTTCAATTTGTATATTTTGACATAATTGATTTCCTTTGATTGTACAATATTTTTTAGACATCTTAGCGTCTTAATAGTATTAGAATTAAGTGATCTTGGGCTATCAGATGCTTTGGTAAAATGATTGTTTTGACTACAAGCATGCAAAATTCGACAATTGTTTGGTCTCTCAAATGAGCTCGAAAATTTTCCAGCTATACCTTTGAGTGCTTTATTTATGCTTATTTCTATCATTCTGTTATGAAAGAGATGGATTGCAACGTTTTTATTGTTCCTAAGGTGGATATATTGTTTTTGGCAGATTGTAAGGGTTTATTATCCCGGGCTGCCCAGTCACCCGGAGCATCACATCGCCAAGCGACAAATGACTGGCTTTGGTGGTGTGGTTAGTTTTGAGGCAAGTTCCATCATCCCTTTAAAATATATCGCCATATGTTAATTCTTTTGAAGCAACTGCGTAAAAGGCTGTATTTGTTTGTTCAGGTTAAGGGTGACTTTCACGCTACTAAGAAGTTCATTGATTCCTTAAACATACCATACATCGCTCCTTCTTTTGGTGGTGTTGAGAGTATTGTTGATCAGCCTGCTATCATGTCTTACTGGTATGGTTCCACCGCAAAGTATTCGTCTTAGGCTTCATTTTGGACGGCTTTCTCATTGCTTCTTAAAGTAACTTTTGAGTACAAAAGTTGTACTAGAAAGTTGTTTTAAGAAGCAGTAAGAAAGCCGTCCCAAACTAGGCAAATTAGTAGGTCCGGTCACCGGACCTAAATTTGCATCCGGATTCCTGCGCTTTTATTGCGCTTTGATGTATTTTTGTAAAAGGACAGCTAATACATAATTTTAATTGCATATTAGCTGTCCTTTTGCCGTCTTTTTGCTTCCCTTTTACTGAGTATTTGAAAAACGCAGCAAAATGGTAACAAATACTCAATGAGTGAGATATTTGTTGTGTTTTTGCTTTATTTTTTACAAATAATCAACAAAAAAGCAGCTAATATGCAATTAAAATTGTGTATTAACTGCCCTTTTGCAAAAATACATCAAAAGCGCATGAAAAGAGCACAGAATTCGGACGCAAGTTTATGTCCGGTGATCGGACCTAATATTATAAGTCTGCTTCTTAAAATAGCTTTCTAGTAAAAAAAATTTAAGAAAGTTGCCCCAAACAAAACCTTAATTACTATGATTTCAAGTGGTGCTGACATTTTTTTTTTATTTTTTTTCCTTTTGGTTAGGGATAGCAAAGAGGATAGAGTGAAGTATGGGATCAAGGACAATCTAGTGAGGTTTAGTTTTGGAATCGAGGCATTCGAGGATCTGAAAGTTGATATCTTCCAGGCTCTCGAAGCCATCTAACTGTGTGATTCGTGCTGTCTAAGGTCAATCTCATTTGGTTGTATCTTGAAAACAAATTTAGTTCTCGTTTGTGAACCTTCTTTCCAAACCATCAATAATATTCATCTGCTGTGTGCGTTTGTAGTCTCCAGAGCTTATGACAAATAAGCTTATTTTGACATCATTTACATCATATAATGTACGATTTTGTTGTGAATTTGACCGTCGTTTTTCTCAATGGTCAAAACCCGTATCATATCTGGAATCCTTTCAGCTTGACGGTGGTTTTATTGTTTGATGAACAAAAAGTATTTTGTGAAGTACTCATCATAAAAATATTTATGATTCAATTTAAAAATTTGTTAGTGAACCATTTAAACTTTAGGGACTGTTTAATTTATTGGGAAAAAATAAAGAATAAAATATAATATAAAATGAAATATAATGCATTTGAGATATTTTGAGTTATTTTAATATGGATAAAATAAAATAAATACAATTTGACTTAAAGTAAAATAAATGCAATTCAAGAGCTTTGATTTCCTCCTCCTAGAAGTCATAAATTTAATGCTTAACATGTATGGTTATATCTTTAGAGTTTTTTTATTATTAAATTGTGAAAGCATAAATTTGTACACGTTGTAGAGTAATAATTATTTTTTTAAAATTATTTAGGGTTAGAAATATTCTTACAAACTAACAAATAATATTCACATCTTAATCCAATAATATACAATAGGAAAAATAGATGAGAGTTTTTAGTAATTTTATATGAGAAACTCAAATTAAAAAAATTACATGGAGCAAACTCAAATGAGAAGCTTAAATTTAGAGTCTGTTCAACATAGTTTTTTTACTTCTTTGATTTTTATATTTCCATCATAGTTCCGTTTGATTATTATTTTATAACTCATTGATTTCTAAAAATATGTTGTTAGAAGCTTATTTTTACATTTAGAAAACAAATGGTCTCAGATGCGAACATGTAAGCCAATATTTTCTTTTAATCTGAAAGACACTGTTAATTTCTACTTTGACTTGAAACATTGTTCATAGATGGAATACAATACAAAATCCATATGATTATCTTTAAAAGAAGCAGTAAGTATTGTAAATATGTTCGATTCGATTATAAACATACAAAATTTGTAGACCATTTTACGTAGACTTATTTGAACTCAAATTATATCACCTTGGTTATGGAGTCATGGACATTTAATTTCGCTATAAATTTATCAATTAATCAAAACTATTATCTTATTAAAAAAATAAAAATAGTAAATAAAATAAAACTAAAAATGAAAATATAACAGATTGAGAAAGTGACCCGTTTTTAAAAATGAATCGGATTCGAGTCGGCTTAAATAGTGTCGTGTAAGATTCGAGTTTGACCCGACCCATACCTGAAATTTGATTTTGACAACCCTAATATTTCCATTTAATTGGAATTATTACTTGATTAAATTTTTTTATTCATTGTTTTAAATAAAAATTTAATTAAATTTTTTGATAAAAATTTTAATGATTAAAATATATTTAAAAAATAAACAATAAGTAACATTAATTTTATTTAATTTTA